AAAATTTCGCCAGTTGTCTTGGACAGGCCGTAAAAACTGCTGCGTATCTGCACTGTTTCACGATATTAAAGCACCTAGGGTATTCATCTTCCGTCGGTGGTGCGTGTCAGCCTGCGCCCTTCATGTTTGGCAGGTGGCGCCCGCGTCAGACTCGTGCAAAGAACCTAGCGAAGGTGGTACCCGCGTCACGCTCGCGCACAGCACCTAGCGCAGGTGGCGCCCGCGTCACACTCGCGCGCGGAGTCTAGCAAAGATGGCGCTCGCGCCACACTCGCGAACAGTGCCTACGGCAGGTGGCACCCGCGTCACACTCGCGCACGGTGCCTAGGGCAGGTGGCGCCAGGGATTCCCCCCCCCCCCCCCCCCCCCAGTTAACGTGCGTCGCTCCGTTCCATCGTGAGTCAACCGTCCACCGAATGGCCAGCACGCGCTGGCGGTCAGGCCGCATAATATCACAAGCGCTGTCCGTATACAGGCGGCACGCGGCCGCAGCTGACGCAGATGACGTGACGTCACGTGCCAGCTGATTGGTCGGCTCGCGCTGACGCGTCCCGTCCTTCGTGGAGCGTGTGTTCGATACGAGAGAAGCAGCTCCTGTCCTTGTGAACTCTCGCCTCGGATCAGATGCAAACTTGTTGGAGCACGGCAGGCCCTGAGGAAGATGTCTGCTGAAGCTTAGAAAGTGACAAACAAGAAATCACATAGCAGAAACCGTAGCGCAGGTGGTCACAGGCATACAGATCGGTTGAGCGTTATTTCATGTGCAATGCTGTCACAAATGGCCAGGCTCATAGCCAAAAGCTTGCACGAGGCGAAGTGCTTAAGTTTTACTGAAGCCCAAAAATAGACTAAATTGCTGCGAAAGCGCCCAGTATCTAGCGTTCACTTGTCCGTCGCCGTCCCCTGACCATCCTTCGCCACGTTCCTGCAAATGCCCACTAAACATCGTGCGTTAATACGCGCACGGGTGGCTGGTCGAATCGCCTTCACTCTGGTGGGGGGTCAGTTCATCCCCCTGAGATCTCAGAAACTGAAAAAGCTAGAGATGCGCAATTCACAGTGTGTGCATTTGCATGTACAGGAGCTTACTTGGATCAATTTTTAAGGTTCCTGGGTCAAACAAACCTTCAAGTCAAACAAGGTCATACAAAGGCGGTATCCAGGCTGGTGTCCAAAGTGCCCTCGGAACCTTAATACATGTACTATGCACAATATCGCATGGTCATTTATAGTCAGTGACCTTGTTTGATTTTTTAAACGTCATGGTAACCTAGATCATGCAATACTGCCCTGAGTTTTGCATTTGAACAAGCGACAAAGATAGCATATGGTGGTATGTTCCTAGAAACAAAATGTTGATCTGGACCGTTTGAAGTCAGTGACCTATCCTGACATTTGAGAAGTATGTAGAAAATGTATAATACAGTTCTTGTTATCAATATATTCGAAATTAGCACCAGAAACTACTTCATGTAGTAAACCCTGAGGTGATAAAGCAGATTGGTTTTGACCTTGGCTTGCCTTCACACCAGGCCCAAGGTCATTGTAACTTGTACATTCAATTGTTGTGTTGCCTAAGAAGCTATCTGACATATGCATGTTTCGTCTGACACTTAATTGCTGCATCTGATTGAGCGATTCACTGGAAATGACTTGGCTGAATCCATCACCTGATTTTGACCTTCCGGTTGTCAGCGACGTTACAATGTACATCTAAATGTTTGATAGCAAACGATCTTCAGTTCAATGATTTATAGCAATGCAAAATGTGGCGCGGCTACACCGCGCCGTTCGGAAACCATTGCGGAAAACCTTTGGGCTCCAATTGGCTCCCACCCGAGCCCGTGTTAAAGCACAAGAGAACGGGAGGTGCAATAAACATGAAAATGCATCTGTTGGAACGGATGTTCCTGGCTTTCAAAGCCATAGAAGCTCCAGTCTCTTACGTAGTTACGTTTCCGCAAGATGACTGAAGGGAAGCCAAGCACAGAACAATATTACGATGCATCACGTGACCTCAAGTCACCAACGCAAGGCTGGGTTGCGTTATTGTTAACCGCCTTTTTGCACTTTTAGCACTGGACACAACATACGCGATCGCGACATCAAGGAAATGAGTCTTCCAATGTTCCAATGCAAGCAGTCGAATGAAATAGAAAATAACGTTTTCAAATATAGTGTTGCATTAGTTTGATCTGAGCTAGTGGGTGCCACTGAGAATGACAGCAATGGCCCAAAGTTTAGCCATCCCTCGGAATCTTAACATCGAGAAAACATATGCCACACGGAGTGCCTCGAAACCTGATCCGCACAATGAGCGCCTGCCCTGAGGTGGGGTTGCCCAGCTGCCCTTACGCATGCGCACATCCCTGCTGCCGCACCTGTGGCACCTGAGATCCCACCCTGCCGCGGCTGGTCTCGGCCCAGCGTAAGCGCGGCCGAAACCCCAGATGACGACGAGGAATCACTCCCTGCTGCCACGCACCAGTGCAGAAACCTAGATGAGTTCAACGGCAAAGCAATGTCTTTTTTCTGAGAACTTACCTAAATTGACCAACTGGCCATGACGTGCAGGTACTGTTCGTATCACAAGTCGCTCATGTTTTATAGTAGCGTATGCGTATCGCTGGCGTCGCGTCTCATTTGCATGTGTTGCGTATTCTGTGTCGATCTATGTAGCACGTACTGACGCGGTGTTAGAGTAGACACTCACTGTATTACGGCAAGGCTCGTAATAATAATAATAATAATAACAACAAGGCCGCCTGGAAACAAGGTCCCGTATGCCAGGCGCAAGCGGGCCAGCGCCATGAACGAACCTGTGCCCTCCCGTACCCCCGCTCCGTGTCCCGCACCCGCACAATGGCGGCCGAAGAGCAGCCCTGCACCGCCGCGGGCCAAATGCCTTACGTGGTCATTGCTATTTTAGGTGCTGTGCTTTTCTTAGGTGGGACGGAGGGGAACAGGGCAAAAAATGCGCATCCATGCACTTTTGTGTGGTTTTATGTCTTCTCCTTGGAAAAGTGTTGCCTCCTGCCCACTGCTCCTGCCGGGACGCAGCCAAAACCTTCTTAAGTGTGTGTGGGGGGAGGGGGGGGGGGGCTCGGGAATACGCGCCATGCCGATTTTTTACTTTTTGTCACGAACTATTTATGGTGAAAAAGGATGTGGGAACAAGCTTTTTCTAATTGCCAAAAGCATGGAACGCGAGCTATTTCGGACGGTATCTGTGCGCGCTCCCATGCCGCACATCCAGGCGGCCAAAGACGTTTGCCGAGGCCAGCCGGGTCATTGAAGTGAGTTGACTGACCTCCACACAAGGCCATAGTGGTGCTCATCTGACTTCCCACGCGTTAAATTTGCGCATAATCTCTTTCACTTCTTCCACGTTGTCCGCTTCATCCTGCATTCCCGCAACCGAGCCGTTTACCCATTCCCGCAACCGAGCCGTTTACCCATTCCCGCAACCGAGCCGTTTACTCGTTGCCGCAACCGAGCTGTTTACCCATTCGCACACAGCCGAGCCGTTTACCCATTACGAGCCGCATGCATCAGTCAAAGAGAGACTAAGTTCCCCCTCCTCCGCCCCGACGGAAGCCCCCCCCCCCCGCCCCCTCTCCCTGCTAGGGCGCCCGCTCAAGTCACGAGGAGCGTTCCTGCGCGAGGTAAGTCTTCGAATCGCAGAAATCACAGATGCATGAAGTTTTGCCTCCAATAGTTGGGGCGGGGGCAGAGACAAACTGGGAAACCTGCCCTCAAAATAGAGGTGAAACTTGTTTCTTCCCGGATTTGATCGACTTTCGTCTTCCATTTGAGACGGGGGTGAGTGGGGTGGGTTGGGTCATTACTCCCTCCAACTGAATAAGAAACTGCACTCCTGCTTGTCCCACTGCCCTCTGGTCTCCTTCATCTAATTGTCCCAGAAAGGCCGTTACTGGTGGAAAGAATTATAATCCAAACCAAACCAAAGATGCACGTGCCGGCTCGTGACTGGCGAGCAACCGTTCGGAGAGTGATGGCGGTGCGGTCATGGGTTTTGATTTTGACCTCGAGCCAATGTCGTTTGCATGCGTTTGTCACTGGTAGTATAGCTCGTTACTGCAGGCACCGCGCGCTACCGTCGGCTGAGAGTATTCCCCGACGTCGCCAGGCAGAGATACTGCACCGGTGACGTCATCAACGCATCAATCACCTGAGAAAATTGTGTCATGGTGACGCTGACGGTGACCTTGGGTTTTTAACGTTGAGAACCTTGAGCCCCCCCCCCCCCCTCCCCTTTGCGTGTTGAGTGACTCTGTTTGCGTCTGTTCAGCAGCATTGCCTGGATTGTCCGCCGACGTGCTGCGGAAGTCATCCTCCAGAGCGTGTAGCGACGGTTGCACCACAATTCAAACGTTGTGCAGCTGACCTCTTGGGGACGCCGCTGGCTCGCGGGCCCCGATCCGTTCCGAGGGCGGTCGAAGATTTCCGTAAAAGTTTTTTACTCCGCACTATCTGGCGGTTTCAGAGCGGCTCCTGTCGTGCCAGTACTGCAACGCATCTAAAGGGAGGCGCTACCTGATGTAACCCGATAATCGAGCGCACCCCCAAATTGTAGGTCTCCTGTGCGTACGTCTAGTGAACGTAGCGCTCTTTCAACCGTAGATCTCCTGGGCCTTGGCTTAGCGAGCGTAGGGGTCCTATTGCTAGGCTCACTGAGTGTATGTTGTCTTGGCGTACGTCCAGTGAACGTAGGATGTCGTGTGTTTATCCAGGTGTTTTTTCCCGCCCAGTTGGCTTGTAGCTTTCCGGAGAATTGTTTCTCCTCTGGCCGCGATTTTCGTGGTGTAGTGGAATGCGCATTCGGAAAATAAGTCTTATGAACTTCTAAGCTTGCCACTGGCCAAACAGTTTCATTGGTGATCCGGACCACTGCAAAAGTAGGATGGTGCTATATTCTTCAAATGGCGGCCGGCACCCATCGCTCCGAAATGTTTAGCCAGCCCGCAAAAAAAAAAACACGCCAAAGTATGTCTTTATTGCCATTGGTTCCGTGAACAGGTGTAACACCGAGCCGGGCACCATGTCAGTGCTGGATGACTCTGATGCTGTACAAATGGAACGCAGGCATCGAACATTACACGCACGCAAGCACAGGTCACGTCCCGCGAGTGCCAAAGCCAGCCGAGGGATCTTGCACATTTCGTAATTGGCGGAGTGGCAAGTTCGATGCCTCTCCGGCAATGTTTCGCTGTAGAGAGCACTGCCAGCCCGGATGAAAGGCGACAGGCCTGCCGTCTTTGGTCGAGCCCGCACTGACAACTCTCTCCACTCACGGCTCTGAAGCACTGAAGCACGACAAAGAAGCACCACTGACAGCGGGTCATGAAAAAAAAACGGAAGAAAGCTGTCCCCCGAGTTACGAAATAGTGTATTTCTACGCACGGGGAGCCACGACTGCGCACTTTTAAAGACGCAGAGAGCTGCCGTTGCCTTCGGTCTCCCAAACTATCCTCTGGGCTAGGGTACTTCCCTGTAGCCTCGAAATGAAGGAGAGAGACAGGGTACCAGTGACCACATGCAGACACGCGCAATCTCGTTTGGAGGCTGACCAGCTCAGCCTGGACTGACTCTGATGTGCCCGCTCGCAATGGCGAAGAAACCAGCCCCCACTCATGAGCCAATAACATCGGCCTGGTCACGAACGAGCGCATACTTGCGCAAAAATATTTGGACGCATTACGCATGCGCGCTCAATAGACAGCGTTCTGGGCGTCACTGATAGGAGTGACATCATCCCCAGGTGCGACGCTGACACGAGTGACGTCAGAGACCTCACGAAGCGCGCTGCCGTCGGCCGCGAGCGGCGCATCGAAGCCCTCGTACGTCACGATGGTGTACGTCGTCCAGTAGTCGCCGTTGGGAGTTGCGGAGACTTCTGCGGTCGACACACCGTTGCCGGGGTCGCTGCTGGAATGGCTGTCGAACGCCTCAGCGACGGAGTTGCCGGCGAGCTGAGCCGTCTCGGACGTCGGCGGCGCTGGGGACGACTCCTCGGCGGCAGTGACAGCCGCGTGACTGCTGTCATGCTCTGAATGACTGTCGTCATGCGTGGCGTGAGTGCCGTCATGCTTGGCGTGACTGCCGGCATGCGTGGCGTGACTTCCGTCATGTACGGCGTGACTGCCGTCATGCGTGGCGTGACTGCCGTCATGCGAGGCCTTACTGCCGTCATGCGAGGCATGACTGTCGTCGTGTTTGGCGTGACTGCCGTCATGCGTGTTGTGACTGCTGGCATGTGTGGCGTGACTGCCGTCATGCAGGGCCTTACTGCCGTCATGTGAGGCGTGACTGCTGTCATGCTTGGCGTGACTGACGTCATGCGAGGCGTGACTGCCGTCATGCTTGGCGTGACTGCCGTCATGCTTGGCGTGACTGCCGTCATGCGAGGCGTGACTTCCGTCATGCGAATCGTGACCATGCCCGTGATGAACTTCACCATCACCTCCCTCCTCCAGCCGCTTCAGGTACTCGGCGACAGCCAGGGCGGCCGACGAATCACTCTCGAAGGGCTCGCCGGGCAGCACGTGCCACGGCCACTTGCACTCGCTGCCTTCGTGGCACGCGGACGTGGCGCACACCTGGCCGTACTGGCAGTAGCGGTAGCAGCACCACTTGCCCCAGTGGCGCACACCGTCCGGGTAGCGGCAGCAGTGGCGGTCGTCGCATGGCTCGCACACCTCCGGCAGCTCGCAGGCCGGGTGACACAAGCCCTTCTCTGCGAAACGGCAGGGCGGCTCAGGTCAGATGAGCAGGCGAGGGGAGAGCACTGGTCTGCTTTTATGGTTTCAAGACCTTGAAGCAAATGAGTAATAGTTCTCGCTCAAACGCGCTCGTCAGTGGTTTTCTGGAGCGCCCTACGATGTGGAGCGCCCGGCGATGCTTTGCAGCGATATCCGTGAGATGACAATGCCCCTCAGCGTGTTTTTTTGAGAAGGTATTGAAGCTAATACACGAATAACTCCAGCTTAATGACTTTATCATGTTTCGCCTCTTTCAACTCTTATGACATCGCACTACCCCCGCATTGTAACACCTGAACGCATTTTAGGAACGTTTGGGAATCATAAGCCACTTCATCCAGCCATTTCCATACCACACAACCCGTAAAAAGCGTTGCTTAAAGCATCACAAAATTGTTTTGCATTGTAGTCAACCCTGTCGCTTTTACGGATTTTGTGGCCGATGTAACCGGCGTTGCAGATGATAGTTCAATTCAGCTCATGATCGTGAAATGAATGACACTTAAACGGGAACCTTTGGTGTAGTATGGAAAACCAAAGATAAGGAGTTCGATTCCCGGTGGTGTCCGTCCTTCCCGTCATGGTAAGGCGCAGGCGACCCGATATAGCCGCAGTATTTGAGTGCGTTGTAAGTGCCCAATAACCACCGACGCACTGTGTGTGAATAGCAGCGTTCCAGACTTGATCCCAGACTTCCCATTTACATGTAAGTCGTGTGGCAGGTTAAGCAATTTACAGCTGCGTTGTGCTTTGCAATCTGTTCGGCACTTTGTGAAACGCTGACAGTTAAGATCTCCAGCAGAAATGGATAGCCGCCAAGGCACCAGTGACGAGTCACAAAGGGCCTCGGTCAGTTTAAGCTCATGGCCCATCTGCATTTAACGTTTTAATTAAAGTTCGGCTTGCCACAGGCATCTAAGATCAGGCAAAAACGTCCACAATATCGATTTGAACACCCGACAGCTTCTTCGGTTTGGAGTAGTGGCTGCTTGTTCTACGTCCCGCCTACCATGTGTGGGCCGGGAACAAGGCAGTGGATCAGAGACCAGCACAATCCAGCTGGCCAGGTCACAGCGGAGAAAGCCCGCCCAGGAACTGGAGCGAGAACCCGTTGTCTCATGACAGCGCAAGGCTCTCAACAGTTCACTATTGAAGTATCCTCAGTGGCCTTAGTGGTGGCGCGGGCTCAACACATCCGTCCGGAGGCTAGGAAGCAGAGTCTGGCTGCATCGGCTCTCTCTCTCTCTCTCTCTCTCTCTCTCTCTCTCTCTCTCTCTCTCTCTCTCTCTCTCTCTCTCTCTCTCTCACTCACTCTCTCTCTCTCTCCTCATTGGTTTGGTACCCGGAACGGGTCAGTGGCGGGCCGGCTTATGCACTCGCCTCGCGCCCACACCAAACATTCGTCGAACTCTTGAATTGTGTACCGTTGCTCTCCGGCTCAACATTACATAATAGATTGTGACTTGCGACACAATTATGTAACGTGACCACTGATATTCTTTCCGGACGTCCCAAGTGACCACACGTCGTGGACACCTATAAAAAGCAATGCACAGTGTACAGCCTCCTAGCTGAAGACTTGTCCGGCTCAGAGCCACACTGACTGCCGGCGGGAGGGCCCGTCATGTCGCTCGCCTTTCTGCACCGTTTGGAATTACCCAGTGCAGTCTCCGATCAGTGCCGACGCCTCCGTCCGGTTTGGGCCAGGCTGATGGTGGCCGCCAGCCACGTCCCGCCCCCATCACAAGGGCAGACAGAGCACTGAAACCTGGAGAGAAGGCTCTGAATACCCCGCGACTCACCCGAAGGCCAACCCTAACCCGAAAGCAGTTTTGTCTTCTTGCCGTCTGCCGGGCAGGGGGGATGGGTGGTAGTCGGCCCACGCCGCCCCGCTCGGCCCGCCCCTGCGCGGGCCTCCCGGACGTGCATACCGGCCACGGCCAGGCGGCTCTGAGACTGCCGGCACGAGGCCGGCGATTTTTCCCACCGCAGGCGGGCATGGGACGGCGTGGCACCGAGTCATCATCAGATGCGGGGCGGTATGCGGTCCCCATCGTCGCACATCCGTGGTTCCCACGGCTGGAAGCGCTGTTTGGGGAGTTTGGGTTTACTTCTTGGGTGTGACCGACTGGAAATCATGTTATTTTGAAAATATGCTTCGTTTTGTGCTGATGTCTGACCAGGACATGGACATCGCCGGATAGTATCAGAAAGGCTTTTTCAGGATCGGCGACTTTTTCGCGAGTGTCATCTCCATTTCAGGTTTAACGACATGAAGAGAGAAACCAATTTGGCTTTAGCATACGTTTGGCACTGCCATCGAAAATGCGAGTCCAGAAATTTTGTGCAGGGGGGGGGGATGAAGCGAGGACAAGTTATGGGACTAAAAAAACCTATGTGTGAAGTCAAATTTGTCCTTGGATCTCAGTCAATCCGTTTTAGAGTTCTAAAAAAGCTGGTTAATGCTTCTTATGCATCGTATCCCGGGCCCGACCGGGGATCTGAGACAACAGCACCAGGCCGGGGGAGGAAAATTATTTCTCCCTGGGACCTCCAACTTTCAGACGCTGTATGAGAAGAACAAAGATCAGTTTAAAGATCTCGTCAAACAGTGAAGAATGCACACCAAACTTTTGGCCTTCGGTTGACTTTGAGGTTGCCAGAGATAACGAAATGCCAAAAACGGTTGCTCTGACAGATGCAGTTGAAACCTGCGTCTACATTTCGAGACGAGAATTGAGGGTACAGAAATAAGCGTCAGGACTGTTTGGCGCTTATTCAGACCATTCTTGTTTCTCATATGAATCAGGTGAGATCAGGTTACCGTTTACATTAAACGTACCAGTAGCCTGCAAAACGATACTTTTCTTCGTACTGTGCTGCTGCCTAAGAATATTTTATTGGATGCATCTGTGAGATAGAAGTATTCCAGACACAAAAAAAACATCTTGGGGGGTCCTTGTGGTCTCCTGAGGCCAAAGTAGATAAAATCAAAATATATAAAATCCAATAAAACCATCCAAGTAAAAAATTGAAGTGATTGCTGGGTCTACGTGGCCAGCACAATGTTTGTTTTTTTTGTCATAAAAAGTGTATTGCACATCTACAGGTACAAACGATCGCTTAGCTGTTGTCTACATTACGTATAGTCCTTTCGGCGTTTGGCAATGCATTTGCAACAAACTCAGAACAGCTTCGTTGTTACATGAATTAGTCGTTATCAGCTTTACAAACACAATAAGGAAGTGATTACACGCGCCGCACTTATTCATCTAGCCTCTCCCCTACTGGTAGCATAGGTCATTTAATTTGGATGACAGCATATGACCTTGCATGTCCTCACATGACCTGTTGTGGCCTCAGTATGCATTAGAGTGACACCATGGTGTGTTTTCATTGGAGTAATGAAATTCTGCATCCAAAATTACCCACTAAAACTGCCTATTTTAAGTTCAGCATGTGTTTTGCGGACCGTACCCACAGAGAGAGGTCATGGCCTGGACCAAGGTTAAGTGACCGTAACCATAGAGAGAGGTCATTGCCTGGACCAGGGTTAAGTGACCGTAACCATAGAGAGAGATCATGGCCTGGACCAAGGTTAAGTGACCGTAACCATGGAGAGAGGTCATGGCCTGGACCAAGGTTAAGTGACCGTAGCCATAGAGAGAGGTCATGGCCTGGACCAAGGTCAAGTGACCGTAGCCATAGAGAGAGGTCATGGCCTGGACCAAGGTTAAGTGACCGTAACCATAGAGAGAGGTCATGGCCTGGACCAAGGTTAAGTGACCGTATCCATAGAGAGAGGTCATGGCCTGGACCAGGGCTGAGTGACCGTAACCATAGAGAGAGGTCATAGCCTGGGCCAGGGGTAAGGGCTCTGTGGTCATATGATGGTTGTGAATGAGCTAATATTCTTGTTTCATATGCAAGCACTATAACTACACAAACATGCGTCCAAAGTTGTATTACTTACGAAAAAAATTGCGAAAATTTACATGGCCTCAGGTCACTGACCTCACATTTTCCGAAAAGTATGATTGATGTAAACTGTGAGTACTGTTATGTTTTATTACTGAGACAAGTTAGGACGAGGGGAAATGACCCACACAAAAATTATGTGTGGTCAGAGTTTCTTGAAGGTTGACCTCTATGACCTGCCTCAAGTCACTGATCTGGGCAGACCAAAAGTTTAAATTTCCACAAATGATGCCTGATCGATAGATAAGCAGGCATTGAAAATTCCGTGCAGTTATGATTGTTTGTCTTTGACCTGTATCCAAGACACGGGGGGGGGGGGGGGTGAACTTCCCCGCCGAGGGTGGGTTAGCTGAAGAGTTATTCATTTCATTTACGTGAAAGATTCTTCTGCCTCCCCCGTAGCTTCACGGAAACAGAGATTATTGTTACCCGTTCACGGTTCCTGACTGCTCCACTGTTAGAATGTGTACGCAGTCCATGCTCAGTCAGGATTTAGTAGTTAGCAAATTTACAAACTTTCTCCAGACTGCTCCCCCATGAGTCACGTCGGATACGATTGATAGAGCGCATGCGCAGTGGCCACTGTTCATCGTCGCGGTAATCTGAAAAGCATTACGAAATCCGCCGACTAGCCTGTCCGGCAAAATACACCGGGAAGTTGACTCCGTAAGACCTGACGCACTTCTGACGGAGATCCGGAAGATTATGGAACTCCCTACGTCATTCCCGATGACGTAACAACTGCAGGCAATTGGTGATATTATCTCGTGGGTCAGCTTGTGATCACTTGAGATGATTTATGCGATGTGTTGTAGTGATTCGAAGTGTTAATCTCCGTTACCCGTGCCATTGTAGACATTCGGAGACGTACACGCAAAATTAACGCAATGAATGAACGAATGGATAAATGAATGAATGCACGAATTCGTGAACGAACGCAAATATGTGGAAGACCTTAAGTTAAGCCAATCACTGATATCTGGCGACTTTAACGCTATGTTATCTCGTATGTTGTTTACGACTAGATTCATTAGTTTCAGTCGCGCAGCACTCAAATAGCTCGCTAAGATACATTTCGCCTTGATTTATTTCATAAGGTCAAATGCTGTGCACCAACTTCATTCCGACACGCACAGCCCATGCGACGATATCGGTGGGGAAGATCGTCGGAACGTGATCTTCAGTTTTTAATAGTTGTTGAAGATAATAGGCACCTAATCAACGCCAATGTCCATTATTGCATTGTAAACTACCTAACTCTGTATGCGACCTTGTTGAATTTACCTTCTCCTGAAAATATCTAAACAGATCGAAAATTAACACGGTTGCTTACATTCCAATTGAGGCACAGCATTAATACAAGACTAGAGACGCAATTATGACACGGCCCTCAATATAAGACGGTTTTTAATCACAGATTTGAAGATAAAAATCAACTAAGTGATGCCATTGGGAGATGAAGTACAACCATGGGTCTTATGGCGTGGACACTTTGGACGTTCCTCGTCCTGACAGGGAAGAACGCAGAACGCAGATTCAACGAACAGATCATTTTGTTGGCGCCCGCTTCCCAGATGTTAACAAACCCCTGAACATACAAGACGGAAAGGCTTATTGGTCGAGCTATGCAAATGTATTGTTAGAATTCATGAAGCTGTTTGTGGTCCGGTCAGGAACGTTACCAAATAACCAGATTGTTTTAAAATGATGAGAAACGACTTCCACGTCATTGCCATTTCAGGCGTCAAATGTAAGAGCTTAGTTGTTTTGGACAATCCGGATGATACCAGTAAGGCGGGTCGGGCAGATGATGAATCTAAGCACAGCTTGACCACGATGTGGTTGCGAAAGTAAAAGGAGCAAGTAAGCGGATTCTTAAGGGGGTGGTCAAGAACAAGATACCTGACAAATCTGTTGAATAGCTGACTCCAGACCACAGCAGGGCGTCAACATCTTTTGGTTTGCAAACAAACCATAAATCGCAGGTTCCATTCCGGTCCGTTATAGCGACACTGGGAACGCGATGGAGAAGACGCCTTGGGTGCTAGATAGGATCTTACAACAGGAGCTTTGCAACTTGTACCACTGCATCGTGTAGATACTGATGATTTCTTCCAAGACTCATTAATTCTGGGTGAGCATGACGCACTGGCTCATGCTATTCTCATTCGCATAGATGTAGCCAGTTTGTGCGTGAACATTCCAGTTGATGTTGCAGTGGCAGCTGCACACGAGGCAATGGTAGCACACAAGGATCAGACAGACACAACTGGGCTCATCATGGGTGATATATGCAGCCTGCTGCAGCCCAGCCTTATTTCGAGCTCGACTCAACTTCAACAAGCAAAAAGACGGCATGGGTATTAGGAATTCATCCACCTATACCGTAGCTATTCCGTGTCCAGATAGTTTCGAGACGTTAGCCTAAGAGCTAGTGATTACAAAACAGACCCGTTTCAATGGGTGTATGGATTGTTTCATGGTATTTAGCTGCATGGAAAAGATACTCCTCGTCACTTGCCCAAACGAGACTTACAGCAGGGTGTAGTTCACCTGTTACATGCCCGGGAAGGGTGAAAGCTCGATATCCATGTTTCAAAGTTGAATTAGTCTCTCTAGAGAGGAAGAGAAGTGATTATGAAAGTCTGAACTATTCACGAAGCCAAGCAAGACAGAGGTGCCTATACGCTATATGTCAGCCCATCCCCGCATACTGGACTGAATACCGTTCGATTCCATTGCATGAGGTCATCAAGGCTGGTTCGGCTTCAGATGAGCATGTGAGGAAACATCGTTTTGATTAGGTCCGGACCTTTTTTGAAAAGTAAATGCATCCGGCGTGTGTCCTGAACGGGATTCGACGACAGACCGAGGACCGATGGAGGAAAAAGGAGCGGGGGGGGGGGGGGGGATGGGAGGACTGGTGCGAGAGGTAGCGAGTAGCTAAACCTAAGACGAGTTAATAAAGTGGGGAGTTGTGTGTATGCCATTCACGCCATAGGACCAGTTGTGTTCTTCCTTTTCAGCATGCGAATGAGACAGCGCTGTGAAAAATAAAATAGCCTGCGCAGGAGTGTTGTTTACACACGTGTTCAGCCTGATGTACACAGGAAACACTGAGACTTGATCTGAGCCATTCCTCTTCGTCTGACCTACCAAGCCCTCCAGGCGTCTAGATTTATAACATTTTTAACATGATACAAAAACCGTGGGTGTTCCAACAAAGATGTTGTTTACGAGCTAAGCGTCATTCGTGTGGGGCAATAAATGTCGGACGTTGTAAACGATCACCACGTCTCCGGTATAACGAACACCTGAAGTGCCCGGAGAACAAAAAAAAAACATACTCCCGTGAGCAAACATGATGGAAAGTTTCCAAAACATATCTCAGGCAGATAAATATTCATAACCCTGCTTTGGAAGTCACAGTCTGAGTGACTATCAGGGTTTCTCCGTAGAGAAAAACAGTTGAATCCCTAATCATCATTATCAACAGCTGAGTTTAGGCGAAAAGCTTTCCTCCGAGTGTGCAATTTCAGAGATCAGAGCGTAATCTCATGTAACAAGGTTTTGCCATCGGCTTCGACATGTTGGCGGTGTGCTTAATCGGTATTTTGGTGGACAAATCCCTTCTGACAAAAGAAAAGGGCACACGTCCGCCCAGCCACTTCCCCGAGGTTGCAGCTCCGCTCTCACCTGCTGTCCCTCTGCCGACGCAGACGAACAAGACCAGCACCGCAGCGAACCGGAGCGAATTCATGCCTGCTCCCCTCACTCAGCGCGCCTTTCGATTCCGGACACGCTCTGAGAAGCCGGCAGCGGCCACGGCGACCCGCTCTCTTTAAGCCGCCGCGCCGCGCCCACGCGCCTTATATACGGGTTTGGTGATGTCAGGACGGGCAGCCCAGCCGGGCTTTTGGAGTCTCGTCCGAGAACGCAGCGGCCGTGGGAGGGGGATCAGCTGAAGGGAAGGGGAGGGGCGGCGGCGCTGGGGACCGGTCGGACGCGCAGCGCCCTCTTGCAGGGATGTATAGTTCACGGCTAAACGGACGTGAGCCGGGGTCCGGTTCAGAAGGCAGCCTCGTCCGCAATTAGTGGAAGTTCAATATGAGCACAAGACGCAAATATGAACAGAGGTCTTAATAGAGAACGGTGACCGGAACTGGACATAAGGACACCTCCTGGACCTGCCTTGAAAGGTACCAGCTCGGCCCGCACATGTTCGTTGTAACGTTGTCCTAAAGAAACTTCTGTATTTAGATGCGTAGATCAATGGGATGCGAGCGGATGTATGCACGAATGCATTGATTATGTCTGGGGTCTTTGGTATGACTTGCGTTAGACGCAGGGGGCTGCAGGCATTTGGTCGGATGTTAAGATGCATTGCTTGGGCCATAACCCTATCCCAGGACCGAGTTGTGGTGGTCGTGTTGTGAGCTGGCTAAAATGCGCAGGAATGCTCGCGATGCATGACACTTGGTACGATGAAACTTGCTGATGTGCTGAGTTTATGCCAGCAAGGCAGCACTCTAAGAAGCAAGATCCGCAAAATGATGGATGGCTTATTCACCTCGCACGGAACTATTCCGGTTGTGTTTGAATCACACGCTTAGAGGGATTTTCTAGATCACTGACATCAATTCTTGTCCGCTGAGCAATGGTCTTATGCTGTGACCAGCCGAACAGAACGCTTCACGAGGGGTCTTATTCCGCCCGGATCAATTCGGCCTGGTCAAATATTGCCCTCTTTACAGCGCAATCAGCCCACGATCAATTATGGCCGCCTCGGGAGGCTGCCTTCCTCATGCTCTAGGAGCCATTCGCACGTCTCATTTTGCCAGGCGTGCTGGCGTCTCGCACACCGCGGACCGCTCGCCACCTGCAGGGTGGCCGTGCTCCCTCCCCCGCCTTGGCCACGCCACTGTGCGTGGGTGGGTTTCCACAGAGAAATCCGGGCCGTCGCAAATTGTGTGCTCGGTGTTACGACGGGGCGTGAATCACACGTGGGCGCCGAACATGTACTATTAATGTTCTATTTTCTATTTCGGTGGCATATAACCCGCGCCGCAACTGATGGCTGTTCGTTGTCTTGGTGAAGCGAGATAGCATGGGCAGCTGGCACGGCGGCGTATTCAGGAGACGCAGGCGTGCGGGTACGATCAGGCTCAAGGTCAGGAGTTGCACGCTCAGCGTTGCTGTCACCAACACACAGCTGGATTAGATCGCCAGTAGAATAAGATAATACTACCAAATCTGATACGTGTCGCTTGCTGCTTACCACGGGTATATATATATATATATATATATATATCTATATATATAGGTATATATTATATATATATAGGTATATATATATATATATATATATATATATATATATATATATATATAGGTGGTACCTAGAGAACAGGCTTTCTCTTATATATTTTTGGTTGTACAACACAGCAGATTCTGCGTTTATGACTTTGGTGGTCGTTTGCTCAAGGCTCCGTATGGTGCGTTTGTCGTTTTCGGCGTATCAATGAATAATGTTACCAAAATTCATATATTTTGTTAACGTTTCAATCAGCTCTATGATTATTTCATGATCACGATCACATGGAGATGAGGATAATGGCATTATAACCATTAGATTATTATAAAATTAGATGGTGGCAGGATAACTTTTGCCTTAGAAGAGGCTCAAAAACGCTGGCGACAATTGTTAGCGAAAGAACATTCCCCAAGCTGACGGTGACCTGGCAACAGCTGCTAAGAAGTAGGAGCTTTTTGCAAAGAGGCGGGAAGCGAGGGGCAGTGGGATCAGCTCGCCTATCCGCCAACTTAAAGCTGGGGAGGAGGTACACCCCTCTTCCCTCTCTCAACTTAGAGGGTTTGTGCAGGGCACATTGGCATGGTAAGTAACGATTCTGAACTGCAATGGAATGATGCAAGCTTGTAAAACTCAGTATGACCTGTTGAGGGCTCATTTTAGCTTATTTAGTATCCATTCAGACCAAAAGAGGGCACTTCTAAGCCTGCAGAGGCCCTCTGCTTGAGATCCATTGTCGGCCGCCCGGCAACACACGTTCCGTTGCATAATTTAATCAGGGACGCGCCCGGGCACCGGGACGGGGGAGGGTCGGGCTCGCATGGCGAGCGTGTATCGACTGCAGCCTGCTGGACAGACTGAGCAGACTCGTAAGGGGATCCAATATATGTGGCTCACGAACGTGAGTACGCGACATGACATTTTGCTGGAGGCCATTCGGAGGCATTATGCCTATGCTTTGGTGCAATAGCAATAGGAATGTAGCCAAGGCGAGCGAATGGAAGGAAAGCTGTGCCCTTCCGCCTTCCTGAGCAAAGGGACTTACACTACGTCCTAGTCGATTTCATGATGATCATGTCCCGTAAATTTGCAGAACTTCAGAAAAAATCTGTTCCTCCAAATTCCTCCGAGGGAAACTGGCAGCCTGCCTACAGCGGCGGCGGAGCCGAGCTCGTCGTCTTCCTCGCACGCGGTGACCCTCCGCATACGGCCATAAATGAGCGCAGCCCGAGAGCCCAGACAGCGAGCGCTGTGCAGGGACCATCTTTGAGGAGCAGCTAGTGCGAGAGAGGGACATCCCTTAACTGTATAAGGCCCTTCACAGCCAGCTCAGCCCGCTGGTGATTCACCGCATGTTTGTCCCTCGATCTGCTGTGCCCCGCTCATCCGAGGCCGGAGCCCTGGAGCTGCCGAAGCGCAAGCTCTCGGTCACGCGGAGGGGTTATGCTACCGTGCTGCCGTCTCGCGGAGCCAGCTGCCCCGGCCGTCTCTGGGCGTCCGACACTGCCCGCGTTTCGTGCGTCCTTGAGAGCACTAAGAGCCTGGCAGTCTCTCGCCTGCGCTTGTTTGCATTGGCTCTTGGAAAACTACTGACTAATAATTTCGACTTGCAATGTGTGTGTATGCACCTGTGGAATGTTCCCGTGAATATTATCGCTATGTTATCCTGATGCCTATCTGTCTTGCTTCCCAGCCTTGTGTTTTATTTCTTGTATATGATTACGCTTACACTCAAGATCCATGCCGCATGGTTAAAGAGGCAATGTCATACGACGGAAATTGAAAAAGAGCAAAATAATGCGATCACACGGAACAGTGTTTTGTCTACTTATTATACATCTTAGACATCGCTGCCAACCACAGGGTTGTAAGTGTAGGCGTTGCGGAAGGTTGCATATACACGTACGATGGACAACGTATTTAAGTGACGTGACATCTGAAGAAATGGAAAAGCAAGCACAGATGGATTATCATAGATACACACGCTACCGCACCACTCAATCAAAGTCACATTTAGCGACACATGCAGACAATCAAACAGGTGACGCCTCCTGCAAAAATGACGTCTTTTTTGTTAGACTTGATTCCATTGTTATACGCAGCTATATATATATATATATATATATATATATATATATATATATATATATATATGTGTGTGTGTGTGTGTGTGTGTGTGTGTGTGTGTGTGTGTGTGTGTGTGTGTGTGTGTGTGTGTGTGTGTGTGTGTGTATACGTTAGATATGATTATTACAAATTTGATTATTCTTCGTACATATTTTGTTAAAAATCACAGCGAATTCAACACTGATGATCTTTTTTGATGTTTTCTCAATAAATCTGATAACACCTTCCGTTTCCTCTCGGCGATCGCTTGGATTGGCACCAAAGCTCATAATAAAATAAGTTGTAGGTTGCCATATTGCAAAGCCTGATATAAATCATATTCTTAACGTTGCATCCTTCATTAGATATTTTTTTGAGTGACAGTTTTAGGCAAAGTCGACATATCGCGTGCTTGTAAAATTCAAGCTTTCTTGTGACTATTCCTAAAATGGATATCATGTCTACATACATCAGTTTCATTGTAATGTTGGTAGGAGCGCAAACATACTACATACATACTACATATCACAATACAGACACTAATCATCTACGCACTACATGTACTCACCATTGTCAGGTAACAACGCTCACCCGCGATACGCAAATCACTCAATGCCCCTGCGCTCTCCGCCTTAATGGTGGCGGATCCTCCGTACTCCATACAGCTGTAGGGTTCCACGAGCATTTGTCTGTTGTTTATGAAAGGGTTTCCATTCGTAGATGTATTTTGTTTCTAGAGCGACGAGTCTTTGTCTCTGTGTGGAGCGATGCGACGACTTTGGTGTTGTTGGGCATTTGGGTGTCAGGTGGGTTTTGTGTTGAGTATCCGTGCATCATCTATCTATCTATCTATCTATCTATCTATCCATATATATACATAGAAATATACATAGTATATTACATTTCATATATATATATATATATATATATATATATATATATATTGAGGTCCAATGGTACAAAATATACAATTGAGGTTCAAGTGTCCCCACCACAGAGTGTTTTTGACACTCTTGTAGCGTTGTTTGGATAAGACTTATCAAGGAGGATTCCCAGGGAAAAGCCTTAAGATAGTACAGTGCTTGTGCAATGTAAGGGATGGGAAGTATTAAAAGGAATAAAAATGATCTTCCTGCAATAAATATCGACGTAATCTGCCGTCCAAAGGAAAAATTCCATGCGTTTGCCTCAGGCTACTTTGAGTTTTTTTATTTCACTTGAATTGTCCTCTCAAGCTGAGTTCAGTTATGCAAGCCATTTAGTTGAAATTTCCACAAACTTTGGGTACTTTATTTAGCTAAAACACCGTGTAAGTTTCAGCTAATGGTTTAAATAACCCAACCAAGTCAAACAACATCAGTCAAATAATATCAAAAACGCCACACGGCCAAAAATAAATATATGGGGTTTTGCCTTGGGACGGCAGCGATATTCGTTAGTAAATTGTATTTTAATGAATTATCGATCACGGACGGGATCACAGGATCGAACAGTTCAAATATTTCGTGATTTATTTTCAAAGATATTGTGTGATGTTTGGAGAATTTTTATTGTGTGAGCTAGGTCCGCGATCGAAATTTATTTTAAAAATGTAACTTAACGAATATTACGTCTATCTTAATCCCCTTTTAAAAGCAAACCTTGGCGAGTGGTTTTTACTTTGAGGAAAGCAAGTTTGCGTAAGTTGCTCAGTGTTTTTGCGAGGAACATTATCCACATAGATAAGACCGTAGTAATAGCGTTATTGCTCGGAGAAAACAGGGAATGAAAATATGGATGGGTTGATGCTTCGGCAACATGCCTTTATCGAAGCGGTAGCAGAAGTGAGCAGTGAAGTGAACTCACTTCCGCTATTGTTTCGGTAAAGGCGTGTTGCCGAAATGTCAACCCATCTTCATCCCCATTCTCCTGGCTTTTCTCCGATGAATAAGGCTATTGCTACTGCTTTATCAAAGTAAGTTTGTGTTACGAGGTGTGCGTCACCCTGTTTAGCGCTAGACCTTTGCCACCCACGCACGACTTTACCTACAAACGATGTGGTTTATCCCCAATGTTATGAATGATGTAATTGGCTAATGATGTGATACGGCATGCAACTACGTTAGCTGTTAAGTGTATGTACGAGGAGCATTATTCACATCGATCAGACTGTTGCAATAGCCGGATTCTGGGAGAAAAACCAAGAGAAAGGAGATACAGATGGGTCAGTATTTCGGCCACGTACCTTTATCAATCGCCTGATCATCCTTAAGGAAACGCCGGTGCGAAAACGGAGTTGCGATGGCCGGGAATCGAACCCGGGTCAACTGCTTGGAAGGCAGCTATGCTCACCACTATACCACCATCGCCGGATGGGTCGGTCTTTAAAGTATGAACAGATCAAAACTTTTTACTGCGCTTTTAATGAAACAAATGCGTCAGAAATGTGATTGGGGGCATGTGCGGAGTATGACTAGTTTCTAGCGTGTCCCTGTGTTGAATAACAGCTTTGACGTCGCGAAATCGTGCGTGTCAGTCACTTTATTCTTTTCAGCATCCTTATATTGTCATTGCTGCCAGTAAGTGCGGGGTAAACTGCGGTTTGCATAACACATCGTAGCTATTGTAACGATTAGGATGTACTCCGTGAATATTACAGCCAGAGTTGCGCTATGTGCTCAAAGTTGCAGATATGCACCCTTTAAAGTGGGGACTGGCACTAGGGGCTCATAATCCTCCAAATATATTGTGGAAATGATCGTCATTCTGGGCCTGCTGGTCTGTGCTTTAATATTCTGATGTAATTAAAAGGTGCAATGCTCACCTTGACATGCGTAAAATTGAAAGCACAGGGCCTACCAAATGTAGCTTTGAGATATTCCTTGGATGATTTTGGTATCAGTACTGACCTGATCCATTCAGTGACCTCACTAACAAAGCTTTCTTTTCTTTTTAGTTTATCTTCTTCTCAGAAAGGCCCATTTCATTAAGCAACTGTGCTAGGATACACCTGCCTGTGACAGGTGGTAAACTGCTTGCTGTCTAACCCTGCCTAAAATAGTCTGCAGCTTTTAAGGGTCATTTTAGAAAGATAGCAAATTTTTTAGGAGAGTGCACACAAAAACTATGCATGTGTTACTTGACACAGGGTTGGGAGAGGGTCAAATTGACTCCCCAGATGGTTTTTCCGGAACAGTTTTTAAGCAGTGTGGCGTAGCCTCACCAAATATTGCATAGCTGTAAAAAGTTTCATAGCAAATTGCCTGGGATCAGAAATTTTATTTTACATTGTTGGGTCACTGACCTATGGCAGGCCAAAGTGAGGCCATGGTTTCAGCAATAGCAGTATGGTGAATTGCTCAATCAGATTCAACAGCAGAGTGTAAGGTGAGGCCATACATCCCTGGAATACTTTCAAAGGTAACACAACAATTGAAGAAACAAATTACATTGACCTAGGGTTAAGTACAAGGTTACACCAAGGTTAAAACCAACCTGCATTATTACTGAGGGGATTGCTGCATGGGGCTAGTTTCTTGTGCTCCTTTTGAACTTATTGACAACAGGCACTGCATTATGAACCTTCTATAGACTTCTTCAAGGTCAGAATAGGTCACTGACCTGAAATGACCCAGGTTAGCATTTTGATTTTAGGAGCATACTGTCTAGTGTGATCTTTGTGGCTGATTAAAATGCAAAAATCAAAGCAGTCTTGTACAATTTTGGTCACCATGACCTTCAAAGGGTCAAGCAAGGTCACTGACCTTAAATGACCATGTGGTCTTTTGCTTAGAACAATTATCTCTAGGGGCCCTTCAGAGACCAACTTAAAATTTGACCCTGGTTGACCTTATTTGACCTGATGGTCTTGAATTAGGAACCTCAAACTTTGATTTAAGTGAGTTCACATGCAGGTTAACATGTGTTGTGAATTTTGTGACTCTAGTTCTTAGTACTCGTGAGATCTCAGGGGGCAAATGGACCCCCACCCACCCGAGCAAATCCACCTGGGTATGTGTCAACAAAGATTTTTGGAGAAGTCCAATACCTTTTATTACCATGCAAGCTCAATTTTCCATTCAAGTGGCTCAGTTGGTTAGAGCGCCTGCCTTCCGACCCAGCCACCGGTGGTCGGGTGGGTTCGAATCGCTTTAGGCCCTTGCTATTTGGCCTTGACAAGTATGGCCGGCGGACCGTGGCAGCGGTCGTGCTTAAGGTCAGTTGGCGTCGAAAGGCAGGACGAACCGTGCGGAGCATTGCGGTACGTTAAACTTTCGCCACTAAATTCTGCTGCTGCCTGGAATTAAGCGATCGGATGGTAGGGGTTAGGGCTCACACAACAAGCACTGCTTAGCATTAGTTCTGATCCCAGAAATCCTTTCATTCAGAAGGTTCGGATAAAATCTTTTAAAAAAACTCAAGGAATAGTCAGGACTGCATGACACATACATGGGAATACATCTGCACTTTCACTGTGATAGCTTTTTTAAAGATGTGATGCAGGATCCTAGATTGAATGGATTTTTAAAAGAACCCTCCACATTAAACAGTGTCACATGAGACCTCAATCCACCATTTAATTGTAAAATGCTCAGTCAAAGGGGAGAAATTTCGTGCAAAAGCTGCATGTGCTGCAGTGCTCTTCATGGTCCATCCTCCCCTCTGGCGCCACCTGACCTTCAGCGCCGCCAGAAACCATGACCGTCAGGGTCAAACAGTGAGTGCCTGATAACAATCGGAACCGATGACCGCGCCTCCCGGGTGAATCGGAAGACAGGCACGCAAACCAAAAGAGCTAAGCTGTCGGGACGACGGGGAGGTGTCACTGCGCACTGTCGAGTGCCGAAGTCAGTATCACTACTGTACTGCTGTATCTTGTCATGCTAGACGACGACAAAATCTTATAAAATAAAATGTCTTCATTTATAGTTGATGTGGGTTAAAGTGTGCCAGATGAAGAACTATTTCCAGCAATTATTTTGTTTTAACATTTGTTGCCTAGTTTGTCTTGATGCAATTTGCCGGTCGCTGACGAGCTTCTTTTGGTCTGTTGCCTTCCCATGCTCAGATCTGAGGATAATGAGGCGGAGACAGTGCACAGAAGCCTGGACCCATATGACCTGACTGATCATCAATATGACATGATTTGTTACGGATTGATTTGCTACTGATGGATTGCTATCGATATGCGATTCGTCGTGGGAGGGGCTGTGGAATAATGCCTTCTCATTGGCAGGCTGTCAAAGTCAGCACACCACTTTTGACGGCTTCCAAGCTGTGGTGCAGCCGATCAGACCGCCAGTAAATTTATTCTAACAAGGAGAATAATTCCAGAACACTGATAACTATGATCAAATGACTTCTGAAGGCAATAGGCCTGATGTGCTCATGTTTAGGGGTCTTGAGGTAGCGATACTTGTGCATTTTATCACCTTACTCGCCCCACACCGCAAATGGTGTCGTCTTACTGTTTGTTCCACGTTGGCTCCATGGGAGGTCGTCATTGGTCATTTACCTGATTCTCGATGACACCGGACGCGATTTGACGTAATCTGTCCGACGTTGCTCCCTGTTTAGTTTTTGGGACAGCAAGGAGCCCGTAAAACCCTGTCGTCTGTTGCGGATGAAAGGCGCCTGTTTTTGGATGATTTACAAGCTATTTGTGAATGGCTTTCCCAACTTAAAACGCTTTCGCCTGGCATGTCGCAAAACACGTCTGTGGTAAAGTTTTCAGTTATTGCATAGGCGCGCCGTAAAGCCCCAATTATAATCATCGCCATCACCTTTTGTCTTTGGCAGCCGCATCATGGGCAAGAGCGTAAAACAGCGTAAGAAAAAGAAGTACCTGTACAATGTCAACCGCAGGAAGCTGCAGCAGAAGACGAAGAAGAAGCTGCTGCCTCGCATTCCCTGTGAGGCGATCCGCGAGGCCTGGGACAGCCAGAAACATACCAAAGCCAACCTGGAGGCGATGGGGCTGGCCTTCAAGTTGGAGACGGCGATGCCGGTGCAGCCCCAATCGGACTCGGAGGACGCGCCCGCTGCGTCGAGACCGCGGAAGAAGGTGAAGAAGCCGGAGGTGGTGCCGAAGCTGGAGGAGCAGGCCAACCGGCCGCAGGAGAGGCGACTGCGCCTGCCGAAGCAGCAGGTGGCTTTCGTCGAGCGGATGCTCGACTCGCACGGCCAGGACTTCAGGAAGATGGCACGTGACCAGAGCAACCACTACCAGCTGACGCCGAAGCAGATTCGGCGGCTGGTCATGCGGTTCTGGGACATTCCTGAGCACTTCACCCCTTACATGAAGCGGAAGGGCCTGCTGGAGAAGCCCAGTGTAGAGGACGATGACGAGTAACTTTGTGTCGTTCAGCTCTCTGACGACGTCGGGACGCGTGGGAAAGCGCGGTTCGATTTGCAAGTGTTCATGTGGTGTACAATACACATTATGCATTGGTACTGATGTGCCGCTGGTGTCTGGTGCACTGTGTTTCAGTCTTGCGGGCCATGAGTGCAAACCGTTTGACCCGTAAGGCATGGTGCAAACCGCGATTTAGGCCAGCCGTTTAATGATGCAGCCGCGTGTGAGGTATGGCATACACGGTAGGCACCAGTGTGGAAAGAACAACTCCCAATAGTGTGCCAGTTCTCTGGAGGATGGGACTGCAATGCTCTTTCCGTTAGTACAAACTTAATAGGGTGCGACTTGCTTTTAACGATCGCGGCTAACTGGTGGCGAATGCTGCTTTAGATGGACGCCGCTGGGTGTTGATGCGCGGTCTTCCTCTCAGTTTCGGCATTGCTCGTCTGTAGAGGGAGCACCGCGACTTTCGCGGAGGGGCCAAGCGAGGAGAAGAGGGCGTTACTTGAACCGGGGCAGCGCTTTGCGGTACAGGACACCTGGCTGACCCGAGACAGCCCGCCGGGAGCCGCCGGATCAAGGCGTCGGGAGCCGCCGCGCCCACCGATGCGCCTCCTGACCGGGCGGTTGTTGAACATTCCCGAGCTATTCAACCCGTGCGGGAAGTGGATAGAGCTGCTGGAGGAGGTCCGGTGTTGACAGCGACGGAGTAACTGAGTGTCATTGCCAGTTTAGGCCATTAAGCTGCGTGCGGAAAAGCGCAGTTCGATGCGCAGACGAAATCTTTTCCGATTTCGCGTGGCTTGGCAACGGGCACCTTGCCGGATGGTGCCTTAGCTCCGCGTTGCAGGTGTACGTATCTGTGACGCGCTTTATGACCAACGTGGAGTATGACGACACTTGCGCCGTTTCGCTCAGGCAGGATCGGTTCAGACACTTACTCAAAGAACATCGGGTTGCCGCCGTAGGCTGGGATTCCCAGCAACACAGCACAACTTTGAGTGGGCTCCGATTCCAGACGGTGAGACACGACCCGGTGCCAGAATTGATTCCGCAGTCGATTCCAGTGACGTCAGTGCAGGAAATTGGCTCATTCATGGGCGTCATGAAACTCACACTGGACACCTTGTCAGTAAAAAAGTGTGCGAGTGGCTGTTTCGTTCACAGAATGCTTACTACTCTGTACTAGGGCCTTGGCTTACTACATCGCATTCGTTAGTCATAAAATAACGTGCCGTCTCGCCGGCTCCTAACGGCAAACAGCGGCTAACGCATTTCTGATTTGGGCCTAAGCGTTTCAGGCAGGGATACCGACATATTCAACGGTCATCAGCGAGGGAATATTTACCTCTTTCCCGCACACGCCACATTTTTACAGCAAAACATTACGGGCTATCCTTCCGATGCGCTTAGCACGCCATTCTACCTCATCGCAGCGAGTGCTGTGAAATTAAACTGTTCAGGTTGAGCCAGGTCAGTGAATGATATGGAATATATTGGGTCACACCGGACCAGGCTGTACCTGGAACGTGTCATTCCGAGTAATGTGTTCTAATGTGGTAGCGCTTTGGTCTGTTATATCTCGTACTTATGGGACGAAGAGAGCATCACGTCTTCACAAATCGTTCAATCGCGGAGAGATGTAAATGAGTCCCACGTAGGCGATGAGTTCAATCAGTGCTACGTGAAGATCTGAGGCCGCAGACGCAAGTCATTAGATCTAGGGCTTGAGCAGAAGCCTCCAAGCACCGTGTAGATTAGGTAGGCGGTGCCACTCGGCTAACGTGCCAGCCGCCTCCCGCAGCTGGAGTGCATAGGAAAAGACCTCACGCAAAGACCTTAATTTGCCTGAAGCTTGTTTATATATGGAGCTGAATGACATCAGATATACAGTATTCATGGCGATTACATTTCCATGCATTCCCAAAGCATCATGTGAAACAATACAAGCATGTATTGAACCATTGCTTGTGTGATACCAAACACCCGGGAAATAGACTTCTTCGTCTCGCTGAGCTTCAGATTACTATCACCACTAGCCGCTCAAAGTAGACAACAACAGATCGCCAACCCACTACAAAACAAGGGAGACTGCCAAACCGAGAGATAGAGAGAGAGAAAGAGAAGACCGAACAACAAAGTGCCAGCGTCGCATACCGACATCACCCGAGGCCACAGACGGCGGGCCGCCGCCGGTCCGGCCGGGGCGGCCCTCTCACCGAGCGCCGCCCTCCCCTCCGGCGCCGAGCCCATCCGACGGCCGCTACTTGCCACCCCATCCCCACAGGCCCTTGACAAAGCCGGTGAGGCCGCCGGGCTGCGCGGCCGCCGCCTGGCCGGCGGCGCCCGCCGGCGCGGCCGCGGCCGCCGGCCGGCCGCTCTCCGCCGCCAGCTCCGGCAGGCTCAGGTGGTTCAGCGCCAGGTCGAAGAAGAGCGGCTTGCAGGGCACCGGGCGCATGGCGGGCGGCATCTGGCAGACGCGGTCGGCGGCCGCCGGCGCGTCCACGTACTCGTCCAGCCGCTCCGACAGCGGCTGCCGCACACGTCAGGTCACACGGGTCACGCAGGCACGCGCACCGCCGGGTGGCTTGCCCGGTGACGCGGGCAGCGCCGGCGCGGACTCACGGCCCAGAGCGGTGGCGCGGCGAGCACCGACGCCGGGTCAGCAACAGACCCCGGCGATGTGAGTCGGAGTCGGAACAGAACGGAACGGGAGGGGACATTACAGGACGAGGTGGGACATTACAGAACGAGACGGAACATTACGGAACGGGAAGAGACGGGCCATTGCGGTACGAGACGTGACCTTACAGGCCGGAACGGAACGGGACGGGACGGGACGGGACGGGACGGGACGGGACGGGACGGGACGGGACGGGACGGGACGGGACGGGACGGGACGGGACGGGACGGGACGGGACGGGACGGGGACGGGACGGGATGGGATGGGGACGGGACGGGATGGGATGGGACGGGACGGGACGGGACGGGACGGGACGGGATGGGATGGGGACGGGACGGGACGGAATGGGGACGGTACGGGATGGGATGGGGACGGGACGGGACGGGACGGGACGGGACGGGACGGGACGGGACGGGACGGGACGGGACGGGACGGGACGGGACGGGACGGGACGGGACGGGACGGGACGGGAAGGACTCTGACCTGGAGGCTGCCGGGTTGCGACGGAGGGCGACTGACAGCGGGCACGGACAGGGGTGCCGCCGCCGGGCGGCCCAGACACGGGGCGGAGTACCGCAGCTGAGGAGGCGGGGCAGGGCACACACTCACACAGCCAGCGGAGCGGCGGCGGCTGCGGCCGGCGCCGGGCACCACACCACCCGCCCCGAGAAGGCGGCCGAACAGTCCTCGCTTGTGCCAAGACACGTCTCCAATGTAATGTGACATCAACCCGAGTTATTTCAATGTAATGATTAACACTCTGAATGTGCAAACAACGCTGAATTCGCCGATATCGCTGCAGCACACTTCCAAAACACCAGCATATCATCAATCTCCGACTTTAATTTGAGTCGCACCTGATGATGGCACGTCACTCAAAACAGTTCTGTTGCCTCCGAACACATGAACCTTTAACTCCAGTGCCCGACCCGCGCGCCCAGCCGCCGGTCTAGCCAACCAGTACCGGCCTCGCCGCGGCGACGGCGTCCACCGGCCGAGCCCCGCCGGGCGGCCGGCTGCGGCTCCCACCTTCAGGTCGTCGCCGGCGGCCGTGTCGGCGCTGTCGGTGCGCTGCTCCGCCGCCAGGATGCTGCGCGCGTGGACGGCGCACTTCCTGCCCTGCACCTCCTGCAGCAGCTGCTGCACGCGCGCCTGCCGACCGCCGGCAGACACGGGGTCAGTCGGCGGCGCGGCCGCCTCATACGACACCGGCGGGCGTAACACACACACACGACACGGACGGACGAACGTCACGTACCACAGCCACCGCCAGCCACCGACGCGGTGGCCTTCGGACTTCGGGGGTTCCAACACATACCACAGCGACTCTGGTGTCGGGCCTGCCACCAGCTGACCCGTGGCTGGGCGATCCCCAGCCCGATCGTCCCAGCTCAGCCCAGTCGGCCCAGCTCCGCCCCGATCAGCTTAACTCCGATTTCATCTCAGCTCCGCTCAGCCCAACTCAGCTCACCTCAAGTCTGTTCAGTCCAGTTCAGTTCAGTTCAGTTCAGTTCAGTTCGGCCCCACTCAATCCAGTTCGGCTCAGCTCAGTTCAGTTCAGTTCAGTTCGGCCCCACTCAATCCAGTTCGGCTCAGCTCAGTTCAGTTCAGTTCAGTTCAGTTCAGCTCAGCTCAGCTCAGCTCAGCTCAGCTCAGCTCAGCTCAGCTCAGCTCAGTTAGCTCACCTTCAGGGCGGGCTCCAGCTCCGACTGCAGCGCGTTCTGGCAGTAGTTCTCCACGCGGCTCAGCAGCGCCAGCGACTCGGGCCACTTCTCGTGGTTGGAATAGCTCTCAGCCACGTAGAAACACCTGCGGCACAGGCCATGCTGACACTGGTGGGACCCATCTAGTCCATGTGGCATGGATGCAACAGCAGACGATTTCACAGTTGGCCGAAATTTGGCCCAAATGTTGTATGCTTCCAGATGCAATTATACCCATCCATGTAGAAATCAGTCAAACAGCCAACCCTCAGATACATGTAGAGGCCAAGTGCGAGCCTAGGAAACCAGAGGTACGGGGTTCTATCCTCGTGGTGCCCGCCCTTCCTGCCAGGGTGAGAGGCAGGCGACGCCATACAGCCTCCGCAGCTGAGTGCGTCGTAAAGCGTCAATGACAACAAGAAAAAAGCGCGGCAGCAGGTGGGGGTATTCACACGAGGGCTGGTCACACACACCACAGCAGGAACGGTAAGCCATCGGGTGCCATGCAGACATAACGCCACACGGTCTTCAGCTGGATCGTATAACGGATAAGTTCTACGGCGCTGAAAGCCGCGAGCTACCGATCGCGCTATCTGACCCGTCCGCGACGTTGACAAATTCACGCCCGGCCCCTCCATGCAAAATTCCCGCTCAAACGCGTCGCGCTCGTGCGGTCACCGCGCGGGTCCGCCTGTGGCGGCGCGGGCGCGCACCTGAAGCCCTTGTAGGCGCTGATCTGCGCCTGGACGCTGCTGCGGATCTCCAGGTCACCCTCCAGGCCGGCCAGCTGCGGCACCTCCTGCAGGTTCTGCAGGATGATCTCGTACAGCCGGATCACGTCCTGGAGTCGCGCCTTGCGGCCGTCGGCACCCTGTCGACGATGGTGGTGATTTGGGCTTAAGTACGCGCCGACTGCCCCGGCCGTGTGGTGCCCATCATATGACCTTGCGACAGTCATCATATGGTCACTAGCGCCCATCATATGGTCATACGGCGCCCACCACATGGTCATACGGCGCCCATCACATGGTCATACGGCGCCCTGTTCGCCACACAGTGCACTATCAAGGCAGCTGCCCACTCCCAGCTGAGCACAGTCGAACAGTAGACAGTGACCCAGACAGTCCCACGGCCGCAGGGTCCGGCCGGCACGACGCGCGTCAGCGTGTTGCCGGCCTGCTAACACGGCCGCCGCGGCCCCGGACAGCGGCGGTGACAGGTCTGCCCCCGTCACGCGCTAAGTGTCTGTCCCTGCGAGCTGCCGGTCCCGCTTCTGACCCGTCCGGCCGCCGACGCGCCAGCTCCGACCCTGAAGCACACGGGCATCCAGCTCGTCCGCGCCTGCGGCCACTCGAGTCGCTGCCCTGCTCCCAGTCCGTCTGCTGCGCCAGAGTCCCGCGTGACTCTGGCGCAGCAGACGGTCACGCTCGGCCCCGAGTCCGGCTCCCCCCCCCCCCCCCCCACACACCCCAGACCCCAGCCGTCGCTTCACCGGCCGCCGACCTTGGTCTTCTGGCGCAGGCGCGCCTCGGTGTTCTCGATGATGATGAGGTTGCGCTCGACGGTCGTGTTGAGCCTGATGTAGCTCAGGTAGGTCAGCAGGTAGTGCATGGGCCCGACCGGCGTGTCGCCGCCCGGCTGGTACTGCTTGTACGCCTGCAACACACGCCGCGGGTCACCGCCGTCCGCCATCCGACCAAACATCGCCGCACGCACGCACACGTACAGGCACACATGACCGCCGGCCGCAGCGGCGAGGACGCGGCGCGGGTCAACTGCAGGCCGCCAGGTCAGCAGCAAGGCGGAGAGGACACTCGGCGCGCGGAGCGGCGCCCGCAGCGGGCTCTCCGCCGCGTAGTCCGCGGGACGAGCCGGCATTTGTACGGAATCACTGCCCCCCCCCCCCCCCCCCCCTCCACCCTCCTCCGCCACCGCCACGGACAGGAGCCGACCAAAGAATGCGAGGCACGTCCCAGGTGATGACGGAGCAGTTAACGGACTGACGGCAATTTGGATGAAAAACCGATGACGGACTGACCGCAGACTGACAAGTTAGTGACTGATTGACACCACATTGATGACAGAATGACGTCAGAATGACAGCACACTGACGTCAGAATGATGACAGACTGGTACCAGACCGGCGCCAGACTGACGGCAGACTGGTACCGGACCGACGTCGGACTGACGTCAGAATGATGACAGACTGATGTCAGAATGATGACAGACTGGCACCAGACCGACGACAGACTGGCGTCGGTCAGACTGAGGACCGACTGACGCTCCCACTGACCGGATCCTGGCGCAGCTCGTCCTTGACGACATTCATGGCGTCCTTGCAGTCCATCAGCAGACTCTCATACAGCTCCAGCTTGTCGTCCGCCTCCTCCTTGGCCGACTCGAACTCCTGCACGTTCAGCAGGAACGCACGCACCTGGACACACACAGTGAAACGTCATCGACACCGCCCAGTGGTAAGTCCCAATCGGCAAAGTCGCGCATGGGAAGTGACAGTGACGAATGCTAGGACGGCACAGCCGAAGGAAACGTGCATTTCAGCTGAGACAGCAGCTAAAACTCTGCTAATGTCAATGACTGCCGATCATAATCAAACGCGGAAGCGCTAAATAGAACGGTGAGGGGCTGTCGGTAGTGTAGTGGTTAACGCGTCTGCGTTAACCGCTGCGCGTCTGGGAAACCAGAGGTACGGGGTTCGATTCCCCGCGGCGCCCGCCCTTCCTGCAAGGGTGAGAAGCAGGCGACGCCATATAGCCTCGGCAGCTGAGTGCGTAGGGAAACCCCAATGACACCAGCGACACACCAATGACTCAATAGAACGGTGGTATGTCCCTGCTACCAAACTTCCCACATTTTCTTGTCAGCCCAGTACTAGGCCTGACAAATCATTTTGTTTGTTTCTAGCTGGGCGCCGGCGAGCTTCTCTGGCGGACATGCACTTTAACGCCATATAACGTCCATATGTCGATACGAGGAAATGGTTTGAATGGGCGGGGCGCCATTTTCAAGGTTTGCGATTGGGTCAGTCATTAAAAACCCTCCGATGTTTTCACCTAGTTCCTCTTCCGTTACATCCCTCCCAAAAGCGACTGCTTTCAACTCTAAAACTGCAAAAGTGGACAGGATGCGATGGTCATTTCCAAACATGTGCTGAATGTCTAGTTCCACCTGGAAACTTCATAACTCACACAAAAGATGAGTCAAGCATGTGCTTGTACGCTCAGTCCAAATGCAATGTGTACGGCACCAGCTGATCACATCGCTTTTTAAACACGTTCTCAACACGGCAGGAAGACGCCACACGCACACCTCATGGCCCAGCCCCCCACCCCTTTGATGTCCTCAACTTTCCTGTGACTTCAGCACGGACTAACGTACAACCTTGCGAAGAATCTACCACGGCCTGCGCGTCCTTCGCGGCCTCGGCTCTGCCAGCGCAGGGCACCAGTCCCACCTTTTCGTGCTGGACGCCGACGGTGCGCCCCCTCCAGGTGATCTCGCTGAGGGCCTCGGCCTGGCGGGCGCGCGTCTCTGCGATCAGCGTCTGCGGCGGAGCAGGGGGGGGGGGGGGGGGGGCGGTCAGACGCCGCGCGGCCGGTGACCGACCAGCACGCGACGACGGCGGGATGGCACGCACGCACGCACGCACGCACGCACGCACGCACGCACGCACGCACATACAGCACGCACAGCACGCAGCACGTCCGGACCCGTCACCTGCCGTGGCACCGATGACACGGTATCACCTGCAGCGTGACACACCGGTGACAGTGTCACTTGTCATGTGACACACCAGTGACACAGGACACATCAGCACACAGCGCGGTGCATCCCTCGACCGCGGGCCGCCGCCGGCCACTCACATCCAGCATGTCGTTGTGCCCGGTCCGCATCTTCATGAGCTCCTCGCCGGCGGCCTTGTCGCCCACGCTGTAGGCGCAGAAGCTGCCGGCACAGGTGACCGTCAGTCGCCGGAGCGGGGCGCGGGCGGGGCGGGGCGCGGGAGAGGTCAGGCGGCACAGGCCGTGTCGACAGCGACTCAGCAAAGCGTATGTGGAAACCGAAGTGTCGTCGTCAAAGCCTCGAAGGAGGCCAACATCAGCGAAGCTCAATCCACTCGTGAAAGAGAGGCCGAAATCACGAGAAGACACAAAAACCAAGAACCCGAAAGCGCCCGCAAGTGTCCTTTTCCACGACAAAATCCTGAATTTCGACACCCTGCGATCAGGAGACCCACGATGGCCAGTCGCCAGAGAACGGTCGGGCTCCGGTGTACCGAAGGCACCAGCTCGCCTGCCGACCGGCCGCAGCTTCAGCACGGTCCACGACAGGATATACCGGCGGGCCGACACCGAACCATTCAGACGCATCGCGAGTGCGACGCTGCGGTCCCGTCTCCGAGGGACGAGCAGCCATCGCCCGAAGGCTTTCGCTCTCACGCGCCGCCTTCGCCGAGCACGTGAGGCCCAAGACCGGCGTGTGTTTTTCTTCTCCGGCATGCACAACAGCGGCGAGCGCGCGCAGAGCGGGCGCGCGGCGGCCCGCGCCGGCGCCGACCGACCCACCTCAGCAGCGGCAGCAGCTCGCCGGCGCGCGCCCGATACACCACCGCCTCCTCCTCGTTCAGCGCCGACGCCAGCTTCTTATAGATGGTCCTGGCGGTGCGGCCCGACGCGTCAGCGGGGGAGGGGGCGATCGGGGTGGGGGTGTGAGGGCGACCGCAGCTGTCAAGGCACGTGAGATTGGGACCGGCCCTCGGATCATAGAGGCTGGGACCAGTCCGCGGACCACGGAGGCTGGGACCGGTCAGTTGACGATTTAGGCTTGGACAGGCCAGCGGACCGCAGAGGCTGGGACCGGTCCGCGGACCACATGCCGACTGACTGCTGCGCCGCGCGGTAGGGCTGGTCCGGCCTGGCGCCGGAGAATGATCTCATTTACAGAAGCAACAGCATCAAGTGGCCTTTGGACAGATGTGGATTGGTCAATCAACACGTTGTCTACACTAAAACAGGGCATACCTTGTCCAAGCCTGTGTATGCACAGCTCCACACACATGCTGTCGTACACACAAATAATACCAGTCATCCTCAAGACAGGCGTCTCAAGTCAAACGCAGCGCGAGACCGACTAGCAGGTCTCCTCGCCCGGCGGCCAAGAGCCAGCCCCCCTGACACGCCACAACCAGTCCCAAACCCATGTGCCTGTGCCTAGCGCTGCATCACCTCAACATTACACATGATGCTCCCACGCAATGTTGTAACCTTAGTAATATCCCGCTGCGCCTGCGGGCGACAGAACCACACAAGCCGTGGCCGTCTTCGACAGCGCCGACCTCGCGTGCCGTGCCTTGCGGCAGAATGTGCTACGTTCCAACACACGGCACCTGTGTGTAACGCCACCCCTGCTGTGCCCCCCTGTAACGTCACCCCGGCACACCACGCATGTCCGTGACGACGTCCCGACTCAATGCACACGGGTGCGACCCCCTGGGCCACTCGGGACGGCCCCGCAGCTCCGCGCGTCGGCCCACCACCCCGACCCGACTCACTGCGCCTGCGTGTAGTGCTGGATGGCATCGGTCCACCGGCGCAGCTCGAAGGCCAGCGTGCCGCGGATGTCGGCGGCGTACGCCTGCACCTCCAGCTTGGTGCGCGCGTCGCAGCGGCTGGACTGGCGCGCGGCGGCCACACGAGCGTTACAGCGGGCCGGCCCACACGCGTCCCACGCGGCGCCGGTCCACGTCTCCCGGCCACGGGCACGGGACAGCGCCGCAGTTCACACGGCTCACGTCTCTCAGAGGTTCGGGGTCTGATAACTCTCGGACCGGGCCGCGGGCGGTGAACGAGGGGACAGCGTACGTGTCTGAGTCGCCGAAATATACCTGCTTACCTCTGCTCTCAAGGTCAAAATGGTGCTTTTTTATTAGTAAGCAACCGGGATTGTGGTCCGGCTGTCACACAGTGAACAGTGTGACCAATACACAGCTAACAGCATGGACAACACACAGCTAACAGCATGGGCAACACACAACTAACAGTGAGAACACATAGCCAACTGCATGCAACCCCTCTTTGAAGAGAGCCCAGAATAGGTCAGGTCGCGTCCAGGCCTGCTACCACAGACACCTGTTCATGAAGGGCCTGGAATGAATCAGGGGAATGGGTTCTGTCCCAGTCTGCAATGCCTGTTTACAGAGGGCCCGGAATACACCTGGGAATAGATGGGAACAGGTGGCCTCCCGGTCTGCTACCATACACACCTGGTCACAGAGGGCCCGGGATACACCTGGGAATAGATGGGAACAGGTGGCCTCCCGGTCTGCTACCATACACACCTGGTCACAGAGGGCCCGGGATACACCTGGGAATAGATGGGAACAGGTGGCCTCCCGGTCTGCTACCATACACACCTGGTCACAGAGGGCCCGGAACACACCTGGGAATAGATGGGAACAGGTGGCCTCCCGGTCTGCTACCATACACACCTGGTCACAGAGGGCCCGGGATACACCTGGGAATAGATGGGAACAGGTGGCCTCCCGGTCTGCTACCATACACACCTGGTCACAGAGGGCCTGGAACAGGTCGGCCATCTGGGCGGCCTTGCGTAGGCGCGAGGCCAGGTGGTACTTCTTGCGGTGCTCCGTGTTGGCCTCCTTCTTCAGCTGCATGGCATAGCTCCATGCGCGCTCCACCGTCATCAGCGGGATGTACAGGTACCTGGGGCAGTGGTGGCGCCACTGATACCAGGTGATACCCACACCCTGTGTGTTCAATTTAAGTATATGTGTACTACAGTTCACTGCACCTTTATCATTTCAATTCTGAAATCCATCATTGCCAACACACTAAGGCAAAAAATACAAACAATGATCACAAAAAGCCACCTGTATGCTCTTGTGCTCTGCTCTCAAAATAACCCCAATGCAGAAGTCAGCAGAAAGTGTGCCCGTCATGAGGCGGGTGCAGTTCCCTTTGTGGGATCGTTTCCAATGCGAGGTGTGCAAATGCTCCTGGGTATAAATAGGCCATTACTGTAAGGATATCTTAAGAACTATTTGAAGAGTCCCCCTCTCCCATCCAAGAACAACGCAGAGCCAGATGCCAGTTGTCAAGGTCAGTGGCAATGTCAGTGATGGGAACCGGTAACAGAACACCACAGCGCTCACTTCTCATCTTTGAGAGCCTCCTCGGTGACATCCTTCCGTCGGAAGTTCTTCTTGTTGCCCTGCACGAAGTGGAGGTACTTCCGCAAGCGTCGGATACGCCGGGTGCAGTAGCTCCTGAGAATGGCAGAGACGGCTGTTGGTGGCCTCCCGGATGCTGGATCCGTAACACATGCCAGGCCCATGCCACGCTTACAAACATGCCAGGCTGGCACGCCAGTGGGTAGAGTAGCAGAAGCCAATCAATACCTCACATTCAGAGAACTAAATTTCAGAAACATAGCATATATTCAAACATAAAGGAAGGAAAGACCACCCCAAAAACTGATCCATTCTTAATTGTGACACTATGCCTCAATTGCCACATAAGCCCCTATATCTCTAGATTCAATATGATTTTGACTGAATGTGAAAACAGTTTTGGGCATGAAAATAGTTCTGGGCTGTGAAAATTTGGGCTGTGAAAAAGTAGCAGGCTTTGGAGCCGCTGGTTTGGGCCTAGACTTATGCTCCATGTCATTGTCTCGACTTTAAATTTGCCTTTCAACACAAAAGACTGACTTTGTTCCCATGACTGATGCATAAAGAAATATATATATATATATATATATATATATATATATATATATATATATATATATATCCCATCAACTGAACTTGGCCTACCCCTCTCACGCAAAACTGGCACAGGTTTTGGCCCTGGCACTGGCACTGGCCCCACAAGAGTTGGAACAGGAACATTCAACATGTCTACAGCAGAAAACTACAACCACTCACAAAATCTTTTGGTGGCATGTTGGCAAAATTATGTCATCTGGGATTTTGATATTTACTGGGAATGGCTACATTAGGGAGCAATTATTATAAACTCATTGTTTGCATACCAACCTGTGACATGACATGTCACTGCTATCAATGACAGTCAATGTGCAAATTTAGCAAACTATTGTTTGCAGCTGTACTGAACAGAACCTGACTCCACAATCTCAAAAACCAATGATCCTGAAACAAAACACATCAAACTGCACCTCACCTGTATCTCTGATAGTCATCATGCCGCAAGCCATGTTTCTGTTGTGCCTCCCGAATCACCTTCAAAACTGAAAGCAACAACAATATTATAATTCAGTTATTTAGCTCTCAATGGAGCAAAGAGGCATACCACCCTTTAAGCAGGGCAGAACATGTCTCATGCATTTGTGGGTATAAGGGACATGGGGCACCATGGTGATACCATCTGAGTATGGGGATTCATGACAAATGGCAAAAGAGAGGTCCTGCATTGGGACATGGAAAACTTGGCATGCACCAAAACATTGTTGGGGCCCCTGTTATTGACCAAACTTTCAGACCACTTGGAAGCTACAGAAGTATTGCATTCCTATGGAATCCTACATGCCCACCAAACATATGGTGTCTGGGAAAAACATTACCAATCCAAGTGCATACACAGCCCTCATGGCATCTACAGATCCAAAAAAGCCAGGGCCCCCCAATCCTTCATTGCAACCTACCCACCATAGATTGTTACCTACACTATCATGACTATTCCAATGTGCAGGAACTTTTCAAACACCTACCTGTGGTATGAAAAGTTGCAACCAGTTGAAAACATCTAACAACAGGGAGCAGGGCCCAGGTACTTGAAGATGCTTACTCTGTGGGTGCATGACTTCATTTCCAGAACAGGGCCTGGGCACTTGATGGCTGTTAACCCCATATTTCCTGACTATGTTCCCATGTGTTTGAATATTTCAGTGCGCCCTTACATATGTTTCCTGCGAGGGTTGGCGGGGCCCATAGTAGCCAGGAGATGGATGCCCACAAACAAACGAACTGCTACCGCCCCATGAGCCACACGCACATCCACATATTGTAGGCAAATCCAGCGCGCATGTCACGCGACCTGTGCCCGAAAACATTTTCGAAATCTGTAGAAAATCGGATACCTTTCAGTGTGTAAACCACGGGCTCTTCGTTCGTGGTCTCCTCTTCGTCATTTGACTCGTGCTGCTCCTCCACGGTTTCCTGCGTTTCGCCGTCCTGGGTCATATTTGGTCCCAAATTCCCACCGGCATCCACGCTTGGTCGCGCCGCGGCACTCTGCTTCGTTTATGTCGTGTGTTGCTAGTTGGATTTGGTAGCAATCTAGGTTTGCACCCATCTTGTAGTTTTTCAGGGTGTCTGCACCACAAAAGTAGTGGATTTTGGTCCTATGTGGTGCTGTTCTGGCAAAAGAAACTACACACTGGCCTCAGGGTTCGTCGATATCGATGACTGGGAGCGCGGCGAAAAAGACGCAGAAAACATTGCTGTTGCCATACACGGCGAATATTCTTGGGGGTGGTTCCCGTGCGTTTGTTAATGAAGCGTTGAGGAAGTTGGGCTCACATCGGTATCAGGGAGGACTGCGGAGGTTTCGGACATCGTGAGTTATGCCAATTGTCAGGTGTAGCTGTAGGAGTATTTTGAGGCGTGAGGGGATTTTGCGAAAACCAATTGAAGTCAGAATTGTAGAATCATCTTTGCGTTTCGTGTCCATTAGAGCCTTGAATCATTGGAGATAGGCTGAATACTGAGGTGGCAAATACGTCTCTTATTTCTAGGTGTTTGCAATCTTTGATCATCAGTCATCAAGAACCTTGCTGTGAGAGCATTGAGAAATTGGAGACCACTGGTTTGTGGATTCAAGTTGCGCTGTTCTGGCAATTGAATGTGAACCAGTTGCTGTGCCTTCATTGTGGTGTAAACCTTCAGTGTGGTGTTTAGGTGATAGGTATAACTAACACCCATCTGCTGGCTGCCACTTTATCCTATGTTATGCCTAGCCATGCATGTGTCAAGTGTGGAATTGATTTTCCTTGCTGGGGATCTTGCTGGGTTCCATTTATTTTTCTCATTCTGTTATATTTCTCATTCTGTTATATTTCTCATTCTGCCAAAAGAAATATGATCTAACATATCTTGAAGTTTTTTGGCTGGGGCAACCAGTGATTATTAATTGGAGGGGGAGGGGAGTAGGGTATAATGGAGTGTTACCCTGGTGTATCAATGGAAAGGGAGGGTTTGAGAGTTGGAACAGAGTATTGAGACTGAGGTGTGAATGCAAATCCTACTAGAATCTTGCAGGTATACTCAAACAGTTGTGTTTGAAAGATGTATACACCAGGAAGATTATATGCAAGGATGTGACTTATGACTGTTTATCTGTCTAGCTATGACTGCTCACCATTTGTATGCATCAGCAAGATCATACAAGGATGTAGCTTATGATGGTTTATTTGTCCTGCTATGGCTTTGCTTTTGATGAAATCAGTGATCAAATTATCTAATGCAATGGTGTTTATTACAAAATGTTGTGTTGTTATGATGAGATGTGTTGGTGTTGTATTACAGTGAAAGACATCAGTAGTGTGCAATCATGAGAGGCTAATTTTAAAGTAAAAATATTTCAATCTGCTTGTTCTTAGAACACTTTTGTGTTCCCTAATTATCACTGGTTTTCCCAGTCTGAAGTAGCCAGCATTTCTCAGTAGCTTTATTCTAAAAGCATGTCTGAAACTAAAATCACCCTATTTTAAGAATATGACTCAGGGTTCTAAAAGCATGTCTGAAACTAAAATCCCCCTATTTTAAGAACATGACTCAGGGGGTGCATAGTTATTGCTGGATGTAACCAGGGGATGTGGCTGGAAAATGGCCAAGTTATGTAACATGTGTGAACAGCCTCCTAGGACATGAACATCTCTGCCAACCTGGCCATACCCTTCACATTCTTTACTCTTTACTTATCAGTTCACAAGCATCTCAGTACTAAATGGTTCAAATTGAAATCAACTTCATACCAAGTGCTGGTCTGATGTCATGTGATCAGTTTTGACTGATGTTTTAAAGTAGCCACCAGAGATGAAAAAGTAAGGCACAATTGCTGTTAGTCATCTTTTCTATATAGAGGCATGAGTGATAATAAATAGGTGTTCTTACTGAGTAAGATACATCAGCATTAAGAAGGGCCTGCAGTTATTTGCATGCTGTGGGATGTATCACACCATCTTTGTAATAAGCGCACTGCACATCAAAAGGAACTTTGGCAAGCCAAATCAACATTTCCCACCAAAGAACATGATCAAGACATGTACAAACAAGCAGATCATTGGAGACTTCTGTGGTCAGCAATAGCACAGATGAAAGTATCTGATATACATGTGCCAGGGTCCCAAAATATATTCCTGTGAACCAGATCCTGGTGCCTAGTTCTAGAATCAGTGAGAGCCCAATAACTACTTTGGAGTGAAGCCAGATATCCAGAGAGAACCAGGTGCTAGCACTAAATTTTGTTAAAAAAACAGCTAGGGTAGTATGAGCTAGTCTGATGTGGATATTTACACACTCATGTATATATATGAATAAACATACACATATATACATAGAGAGGGTTTGTGTTTATATGTGTAAATGAGATATGCACACTAAAGGCATGGCATATGTAAGTAAAAATGACACAGGCATGCCTTTATAATGTAAAGCCACACAGATGGTATGCTGGACTGGCCAATGGCTGCGTCATGCAGATGGCAGCCTTTGGATTACCCTGTTGCCTGCCTGCTGCCTCGCCAGGTACTGCGTGACTGTCTGCTGGCCACAGGACCACAATGATGGAAGGCGGTGCCTTTGGCGGGGCCAAGATGGGGGCCGCCTTCGACCCACTGACTTTCGTGCAGCGGCCGCAGGTGGTGCTGCGCGCACTTTGCGTGGTGAGTACGGCTGCGGCTCTGCATGGTGAGTACGGCTCTGGCTTTGCGCGTGGTGAGTACAGCTCCGGTTCTGCCTGGTGAGTATGGCTCTGGCTCTGCGTGGTGAGTACAGCTCTGACTCTGCAGGGTGAGTACAGCTCTGGCTCTGCAACTCACCATGCAGACTACGACTCTGGCTCTGCCTGGTGAGCAAGGCTCTGGTCATGCGTGGTGAGTACGGCTCTGGATCTGCGTGGTGAGTGTGGCTGTGGTTCCGCGTGGTGAGCACAGCTCTGGCTCTACCCGCTGAGCATGGTTCTGGCTCTGCACTCGTCGGTAGTGGCCGCGATGCGACCGGAACCAGGCTGGCGACGGCCAGGGTAGATTCAGCGCCGGGAATTGGTATCGAGCCGGCCAGTCGGCATCGCACGCTGATGATGTGTAGCTGGGTGACGCGAGTCGCCCGCCTTCATATGCCGCGATATGCAGGTCCAGCTCTCGATGAACCACTCGGGAAATGTCACACTCAGCTGTCACTTACGCATGGGATGCTGTGAACCGGCCAACTGATGACAGGCGAAGAATCAGCTGACTGCATTTGCGACAGGCACGATTTTAGAGCCGTTGTTAGAAGTCTGCAAGCTCAAAAGTATAGTCCTTGCAAAATCTGGCTCATTACGCCCCAGACCACTCGTGCCATCCCCCGGAAACCTGTGCTTCGCGTACGCTATTCGGCTGGTGCTGCTGTCCTACGCTTACACTGTACCTCATGTGGTGCTGATATACTTCCTGTTCCGAAGATGGAGACGAACAAGCTGCAAAAAGGTTGCATGTGTGAACATTGTGCACGTAATTTACGTGCAGTATGTAAAAATACTGCAACAACATCCCAGCAAAGTGAAGGATGTTTTCCGATGCGTGAGCGTCTCACACCAGGTTACGTGACGCAGTCTGCCGCTTTATTGAGCAGCCAAACAGCTCGGGGAGCCCGTTATTGCGTCTGGAATCGAGCGGAATGTTCGTAATGTGCTCCAGGCGCGCCTGCGAAAATGTCCGGGGCACGGTCACGCTCTCTTTTGTGATCCCCGCGCGTCGGGTCTATTTTGAGTTTGGGATGCATCTGGACCGACAGAGATTGAGGTTGGGCGGCTGGCCCCAAAATGGAGGCATGTCAGAAATATGCTGTGCTCTACTTCCGCCACAGAGATGTACGTCAGAAGCATGTTGTGCTCTGTTCTCGCCACAGACAACGCGCACATGCTACGCTATTTGCATGCTGTACGCCTGTCCGGAGAGGGACGTGTTCATCTCATTTGCAGGTTGTGAAACGAAGTTGGAAGCTATGGTATTCATTGTGGTATAAAGCGCTTGCCTCGCCACTCGGTGCAGTCGACGGTGGCACGCGACACAACTTGGCTATGCACGGTGACTCAAACGCGTAACGCGTCACGTCAACGTCACTTCACGTCACCAACGTCACGCTAGTTTGAGCAGAGGAGGCGGTATGCTCGTCAGTCGTTTATCGTTTTTATACAGCCCTGCGGGAATTCCGATAGCGGTCGACCGATATTGGTCGATTTTCTTCCCGCTGCTCCCATGAAAATATCGGGACAAACGCCAGTGGCGGGGCCGTGAACTAGCTTGTATTCGGAGTATTGAGTAGTTCGACGTTATCTATGTGGCGAGGATCGCAAACGGCGATAAGTCCCCGTCCGTCCCACCCCAAATTCACCGCGTTGTTTAAGCCTATAATGAGAGCTTTGAACAATTCGCGGCTGACTCTTTGTGAGCGTGTTGAGTGACGCCTGCTCGACATTGGCCCGGCTGGTATTGAGTGACGTCTGCTCAACATTGGCCCGGCTGGTGTTGAGTGACGTCTGCTCAACATTGGCCCGGCTGGTGTTGAGTGACGCCTGTTCAACATTGGCCCGGCTGGTGTTGAGTGACGCCTGCTCAACATTGGCCCGGCTGGTGTTGAGTGACGCCTGTTCAACATTGGCCCGGCTGGTGTTGAGTGACGCCTGCTCAACATTGGCCCGGCTGGTATTGAGTGACGCCTGCCCAACATTGGCCCGGCTGGTATTGAGTGACGCCTGCTCAACATTGGCCCGGCTGGTGTTGAGTGACGTCTGCTCAACATTGGCCGGCTGGTATTGAGCGACGCCTGCTCGACATTGGCCGGTTGGTGTTAAGTGACGCCTGTTCAACATTGGCCTGGCTGGTGTTGAGTGACGTCTGCTCAACATTGGCCGGCTGGTATTGAGCGACGCCTGCTCGACATTGGCCTGGTTGGTGTTGAGTGACGCCTGTTCAACATTGGCCTGGCTGGTGTTGAGTGACGCCTGTTCAACATTGGCCTGGCTGGTGTTGAGTGACGTTTGCTCAACATTTGCCTGGCTGGTATTGAGTGACGTCTGCTCAACATTGGCCTGGTTGGTGTTGAGTGACGCCTGTTCAACATTGGCCCGGCTGGTATTGAGTGACGCCTGCTCAACATTGGCCCGGCTGGTATTGAGTGACGCCTGTTCAACATTGGCCCGGCTGGTGTTGAGTGACGCCTGCTCAACATTGGCCCGGCTGGTATTGAGTGACGCCTGCTCAACATTGGCCCGGCTGGTATTGAGTGACGCCTGCTCAACATTGGCCCGGCTGGTATTGAGTTGGACGTTCTGCTCAACATTGGCGAGCTGGTATTGAGTGACGCCTGCTCGACATTGGCCTGGTTGGTGTTAAGTGACGCCTTGTTCAACATTGCCCGGCTGGTATTGAGTGACGTCTGCCTTCAACATTGGCCTGGCTGGTATTTGAGCGACCGCATGCTCGGACATTTGCCTGGTTGGTGTGTTGAGTGACGCATGTTCAACATTGGCCTGGTTGGCATGTTGAGTGACGGGCCTGTTCAACATTGGGCCTGGCTGGGTGTTAAGTGGAACCAGCCTGTTCAACATTGGCCCGGCTGGTATTGAGTACGGTCTGCTCAACATTGGCCCGGGCTGGTATTGAGTGACGCTCTGTCAACATTAGCCCGGCTGTTGGTATTGAGTGGCGCCTGCTCAACATTTGCCTGGCTGAACTGAACGGTGATTCGCGCCGAGCCCGACGCCGCGGCCACCGCTGTGGAGGCAACAACTGCAGTCGGCTCGTCTTCTGTTCGCAGCTGTTCGCCATCATCGTGTTCGGCTGCATCTCGTCCCAGGGCTGGTACGTAAACAATGACGGTGTCACCACCTGTCTCTACAACGACAACAGTGGCGCCTGCAACTACGGCACCGGCATCGCAGTCATCGCCTTCCTCGCCGCCATCGCCTTCCTGGTCGGCGAGTTCATGTTCGACCGGATGTCGTCTGTGAAGACGCGCAAGCACTACGTCCTTGCGGATCTTGGCTTCTCGGGTAACTCACTCGCATTATTCTTTTGGTTCTGCAATGTGTAGTTGATTTAGGTGTTGTCAAACCATCTGAATGGGCCGTTGTTTTGGTATCAACGTGTTCTTTTGTATGATTTACTCCGGCCTGAAAAACTCCATTGATATTTGTTGAAGAGCTCGTTTGCGCGCCATGTTTATTACAACGCCAGACATCTTATATATGGTTGTCCGGGCCAGGCTTCTGGACGTTCCTGTTCTTCGTGTCCTTCTGCCTACTGACTGACTCGTGGAACAAGTCGACCAACGTCCCGGTGGCGGCCTCCAAGAACCCGGTGCAGGCGGCCATCGCCTTCACATTCTTCTCCATCTTCACTTGGGTGAGTGACTCTGGCCAGAGGCAACACACTGCTTAAACGTATGCACGGTGTCTTGAAGCCGCACCGCAGCAGTTTGTCACCGTACAGCGCTACATGCGTAACAGCAACGCAACGCAACGCAACGCAACGCAACGCAGCGCGTAGCATGCGACGCTCGTTGGCGTTTAAAACGCGAACAGTCGGCATCCGCAGTGCTCACCAGCTGTAAGAACCGTCCGAAATATGCGGAGGATTTACGGACTTGCGTGACAATGTGCTCTGAGCAGGCACGAACGCTCCTAGTGTTTGCAGCGTGAGGGACGCATGAGACGCTTCACAAGGTCCAGCTGCGGACGTTAACGTCTGAGATTGAACCTTGTGAGGTCGTGCTGATAGCTATGCACGTTATATGTGATGGACACGAGCTTTGCCTCCCTGGAGACATGGGAGAAAGGCGTCAATGAACGCGGAGTCGACAGCTCACCACGTCAGCTCGCCGCGTCACGTCATCTCACCGCGTCAGCTCATCGCGTCAGCTCGCCGCGTCAGCTCATCGCGTCAGCTCACCACGTCAGCTCGCCGCGTCGCGTCATCTCACCGCGTCAGCTCATCGCGTCAGCTCATCGCGTCAGCTCATCGCGTCAACTCGCCGCGTCACGTCATCTCACCGCGTCAGCTCATCGCGTCAACTCGCCGCGTCAGCTCATCGCGTCAGCTCACCACGTCAGCTCGCCGCGTCCCGTCATCTCACCGCGTCATCTCGCCTCGTCAGCTCACCGCGTCAGCTCACCACGTCAACTCACCGCGTCAACTCGCCGCGCCAGCTCATCGCGTCAGCTCACCACGTCAGCTCACCGCGTCACGTCATCTCACCGCGTCAGCTCACTGCGTCAGCTCACCCGTCAGCTCACCGCGTCAGCTCACCGCGTCATTATCCCAGCCTGTCACGGCAGCTTACCTTGGTTGCCGGTAGCTCTCCGTGCTTCGGCGATGCGTGATACTACGGGAAAGCCGCTGATGTGGGTATCTGAGCCGTCGGCGATACGCTATCGTTGCAAAACAACATGCTACCCATTTCTCTGGGTGACACTTTTACAACCTACGTGATGTTTGTGAGGATGTTGATTGGGGATCTCGGCGAACTGTGGTCCGTGGCGGCGTTGAAATCAAGGCGCGCTAACATTGATGCGGTGGCTCTGCACGTGTCCAAAGAGTGCAGCGCACCAGTTCACCCGTCCACCAGTTTCCAAAAACCGGGACAGCGTGCCGGCGACACGTATGCAAGTGGAGTGTGACTGAGAGCCGCCCAGTTCTCATCTGTGTGTCAGAACATGTGTCCCGATGGCTCGGTCGGTTGGTGCGTTTGCCTTCCGATCCTGCCGGCTGCCGCCTGACCTAAGAGTACGTTTGGCTTCGTTGTCTTGAATATGTGAAGTTGGTCACTCGACTGGTGCTGACAGTTTGGTGGACGAACCTGATACGCTTAGGGACATAATCAAGGGGCGCCATATGACCAACGTAGTCGGTGCGCCCCAAAACCCAAATCATCATCATTAGGGGCATGATCATCATACGTGGCTTGTTTTTAACTCCCGTTTGTTTGCTGGTTCAAGGGATAGAATCACCAAAAAGTGCGCTGATTTGTTTCGCATGGAGTAGCGGACAGCCGACCGCCTGTAAATTTGAAACATCTGGAATGATGCTTCCAATATGCTCTCTTGGGCTGTAGCACCGTGGACTAAAGCGCTGCTCAAGGAAAGCCCGAAAAAGCTAAAACAGTGGCCAGTTCGTGCCTGTTTCCGCTCACGCGATGCGAAAATTAATTGCGAATGGTCATGACATCGGGGTGAACCACATGGTGTGATGCGAAAAAGCTGCGAGTGATATGAGGCCAGACAATAAGAGAATACAATGGGCAAAGCCGCGTGGGTCATCCTCAGACCTCGAAGCGGGTGTAGGTGAACTACACCCGGGGGAGGGGTGTAGTTCTAAACCGGCCTGGAACTGACAGGTCCCACTTGTCATTCTCATGTCATTAAGAGTGACAAGCGGGACCAACCATTCGAATGTCATTCGGCTCAAGTAATGGCTTTGAACGTGCTTTGTGCAGAGTAGCACTTTAGCATTGGCTGGCAAAGCACGCCCACGCCTGTGCTGTACTGTGGGGAAGCGCTCCTGGCTCCTGTTGGCCTTGAGGCGTGGGCGTCGACAGGAGACCCGCACTGATGTGCCATGTTCGTCAGCGTGCATATGACGGGTGTAGATATCACCCTTCGGCACGATCGGGGAGTTTTTGAAATTGGTGTAAAGTCGGTGGAGAGTCGGATCAGTTTCGAAGGCAGTGAATTTCAATGACTGGGCGCGCTGGGATGGCTAGCCCGCGTCGCCGAAGCCGGACCAACTCTGCTGCCCGCTTAGCTCTGACCCCAACCCGGCAGGGCGCCGCCGCCTACCTGGCCTACCTGCGCTTCAAGCAGGGCACCGGCAACGAGTTCGCCACCGGGTACGACCAGGAGCCGGCGGCGGGCGCCGGGTACGCCGGCTACCCGGGCGCTATGGACGGTGCGCCGGATCAGTCCGGCTACCAGGAGCCGCCCTTCTCCCAGCCGCAGGACGCCGGTGAGTGGCACGGCGACCGGCCCACCCGGCGCCGGGCGGAGGTGCTCGCCTGTCGGGCTGGAGGGCTGTGTTTGCTGCGGTTGTGCTGCCGCCTCGCCGCTATCAGTGTTCGAAACGGCCGGCGCCGTCGTGGGCTGTTCACGTGGGTGTTTTTCTCTCGCGCGCTGAAGTGCGCCAAAAACCGCTCGTGTTGACAGACCGTTGAGTGCACTCGTTCCGACGCGCCGAGCGAGGCGCAACAACAGGTGAGCCCCCCCCCCCCCCCCCCCGCCCGCGGTGGCCGGCGTGCAGTGGGGCCCCCTGTGCTGTCCTCCGTGCTGGGCGACAGGACTGTCTGGACCTCGTCCAGAGGCCCCCCGGACATCGCCGCAGATTCCCACGCGTGGCGCCTGCAGACGTGCGGCCGGCTGGCGCTGCCGCTGCCGCTGCCGCTGCCGCTGCCGCTGCCGCTGCCGCTGCCGCTGCCCCACGTCACCCCTGACCCTGTCAGCGTGCGGGGCTCCACATGTTGACTGTGGTGCTTCTCGTTTCGCCAGGTCAGAACTTCCAGCCTCCGGCCTACTAGAGGGGTCGGCGAGGTGTGCCGGCTGCGGTCCGGACCACGTCGGGACGAGACTGGACCGGACCGGACTTTGACCGGACTGATCTGAACAAGGCAGGACCGGACTGGTTCAGAACATGACGGGGTTTGACTAGGCTAGAGACTGATTGGGCCGGGATAAAGGTCAGATGAACGGCAATTGACTGCGACGGGACTGAATGAGACGAAACCGGATCAAATCAAATGAAATCGAATCAAATCGGACCAAACCAGAAAGTTAAGATCACACCAGACCAGACCAGACCAGACAAGACCAGACCAGACTGAACAAGACCAGACCGGACCAGACCAGACCGGACCGGACCGCACAGGACCGGATCGACCCGACTTCTGTAACCCGGAAGACAAAGTAACGCAGTGGTGGCGGTGGGCGATCCCAGCTATATAGTTCCGCTGCACGAGTGGGTCGTGTTTTGTATCGAGAATGACGATTATTTACATTCAAACATGTGATATCATTTCCGCATGTATTATAGCCGTGGCGGACGTGTGGTTGAGTTTGTTAAAAAAAAACGCGCAAATCGTACTGCGTTGTGTTTGCATCAGGCGTATCTGACGTTAATCGTATTCCTTTGTAAACTCTCCATGTGCGCTGTCAGTTTGCTGTACTGTAGATATGCATATCCCACGAATTCCTAGTCACTAGGCAAGTAATAAGACCGCTAGTCACGTAGCTGGCCTAGGGTAATCGCGCGTTGTGTGGGCTTGTTCTAGCCGCGCGCCGGGCGCCGAGGCGGCGTCGCTGTCGCGTGGGCACCTGCACCCCACAGGTGTCCGGAGTGAGGGGCGCGTCCGATCCCCCCCCCCCCCTTCCCCGCGCCAGGGCCGGCGCCGTTCCCCAGGCTGCGGTGCCGTACGCACTGCGGCGCGCGATGGGCAAGCGGTGGCAGATGTCACACCACCGCACTCAGCGGCGGGAAGAACGGTCGCTTCTCTCCAGATGTGCGCGCAGCTCCGCAGGAGTGGGCTCCACTCCCTCTTCCTGACGTAGATTCCGAGATTCCGATTGCTGGGCTTCGTTGGCCGACCGACGACTCTCGGTCGCCGCAGCTCCTCGCCCCCGAGCAGCCGCTCAGACTCTGGCCCGCGTGTGGCGCGCGCGGCGCCAGCGCGGCGTCGCCCCGCCGCCCGGCCGCGTGCGTTTGTCGGCGTGTTTGTGTGTGCGCTTGCCCGTGTGCGTGTGCCGCCGAAGCCAGCTGGGCGAGTGGCCCCCGAGGGGCGGGGCTCGCGTGCCGCGCGTCGGCCGCGGCGCCCGCCATGTTGTTGACCTCGCGCTTGCGCGCGCGTTGTGCCGCCGCGCCGCGTCGGAGCGTTCTTGATGTGTAGTGGCGCCGTGCAGCCGGGCTCGCGGCGGCGGCGGCGGCGGCGGCGGCGGCCAGCGCACGTGCTCGGCCGGGCGCGGACGGGCGCGGCCGCCACCTGGCGGGCGCGGGGCCTGGCCGGCGCCGCCACCGCCACCGGCCGCGCGGTCAGCGTCGGTGAATTACAGTGTTGTGGTCGGGTGCTCGAGTTTCAAGCTGGGTCTCCGGACGCGCCGGCCGAGAACGGACGATGGAGAGGTGGAGATGGAGCTAGCGCAGCTGGTCACACACACTGACGAGAAACAGCTCAGTGGGGCGGGATGATCTGCTTGCTGCGTTCAAGAGAAGTCGCGTTCGTTTAATTAGTACGTTTCATTAAATAATTCAATATCTATTATATCATTCAAAGTGTATTTGCATGCGGCCAAATTGCTAACGACGCATCCCTTCACTTTCACGGCAGCCGAGGCATATTTGGGCGGGGAACTGTGGCTGATAAGTGCGTAGTTTGTGGCATGCCACATCAAACATACATTCTTGCGTATCTTCCGAATCATGCGTACTGTTTTGCTACATCCAGGACCTAGAACGATTAGTTGGCGCATCACGTGAGGGAAAGAGTTTCGTTGCGAAGACGATGTTAAATAACTGGATGCTGCCATAGCTCCTGGTGTCAAATATCGTTACACGACTGACACGGAAGTGTTGCTCATTGCGTTGTTGGGAGGAAAGTGAACTTTCGTATAACGTGCGCAGGCAAATGCGGATCTCGGTCAAACGTTGCTGACCCTGCCGACTGCCTGGCGCGGAACGCTGGGAAGCTGGTGATCGCCGCGCGGGTATTCACTGGGGTCCGCCGTGGAACCGTCCCATCAGGCCCGAATGGTTTCCCAGGAACGCAGAATTCCACGTGAGCGAGAGTCACTAACCAGCAGAGGCCTCGAGGAGCGGACCCCGTGCACGGTCCGGCATCTGATGCGGGCTGATCAACGTCGTGCCAACACCGGCCCAACGAGGGTCACTTGCCAGTGGGTATATTGACCCGGCTTGCTCGTCTTGCCACTGGCCGTTACTGAGCCCGATCCAGATCTGCGTTTCTCCCCACGAATCATAGAAAACGCATCATGTACAGGTACTGGCTCGTCGTTGATGGCGTAACAACTCTCAGCATGTGGGAACCAACAGTGAACATCAAGCCCCACCCCCCGGGCTCATCACGGAACCCGGTGGAACTCAACAGACGTGTTCAGGAGTCAGTTAGTAAAGGTTTGGATTCTGAATCATATCAGGCGTAGACCTGCGGGGTCGTTTTCGACTTCTTCTTTTTTGTTATCTAGCGATAAATCGCAAACTTACGACGCATTATTCAACGTTGCCAGTGCGCGCGCCTACAACGGACAGGGTAAGCATAAGGCTACGACCAGTCGAAATTTGAGTCGGGCGTCGAGGATGAACTACAGACAAGCGATTTCAATGACTTGCAAGTTTCTTTGGAAGGGGTCCGTGAGTCTTTCCTCTCCTCCTCCGTAACTCGGGTACGCAGGGTCACAGCTGTATAAAAGACCCGGGGCCACGAATCGAGGAAGTTCTGTAGGGACTAGGGTGCGCAGCCGACGCGTTTTTCACCGGCGTTCAGGAGCAGGAAAGATGCACTACATATCGTGCTTAAGGGTCCTAAATTCATATCTGAGAAAGGTGGAAGGTAAAAGTTCATGCCTTAGCGGATTTTCCGCATACACGCATTTTGATATCGGCGGAAATGTGAGAATAGGTCCGAGTCACTGTGAGGTACTAACGTGGCAAAGAAGAAGATTCCGGCGTTCTCAAGGCCGCTGTTGTATTTCATCATGGATGCGCCCAGGAACGAGGAGGAGCACTTCGGCAGCATTCCCAGGAAACCATGCAGGACTTGCACGGATTTCAAGACGTGGATGAAGGTGCAGGGCGGTCAAAAGGGAAGCACAAAGGATCAAAAGACGGTAAGTAAAAAAGTTTTAGTTGGATTCCCCTGGACGATGGACTTTGTCAACGCGCTTTTGGGGGATGGCCCAAACGCATTGTAGTCTCGTGCAAGCGTGGATGAGTCGCTGTTTCAATTGGCGGCGTTATGTTAACTTCGTTTGGAAAATGATCGAGTATCGCACGCTGATTCTTGGAAGTAATTGAGGTCCATTTTGGAAGTCATTTTTACTGGTCTTGAAAAGGTGATGCAACTGGATGGTTTGCATTGTCCACAAGGCATTGTTGGCTGAAAAGTAAAGAACACCATCATGTGGCACATGACATGAGTAATTCACATGTGATATCCTTGCTATTTCACTTGCTCTGGGCATGGACTGTGTGCATAGAACTATATTTGTTGCATGCAGAACAAACTATACCTAAATGCTAAGTCTCTGTTATCACACAGAAAGACCCCTGGGGAAATCTGAAGTCCTTGCCCCAATGTACAACCTGGTGGACTTGACCACAACCTATGTTTTCTCCTGGTTGTTAATCTCATGCTAATGATGTAATTTTTGTTAAGCAGTATAAAATAGTCAATTATCAAAGAAATTATGCTCTTATGTAAATCTAAGGGTTTGCCAAGAATAAGGTCAAGTGTACTGTCAACTTAAGCTGTTTGCTGATATGATGCATAGATGGTCCTGGACCTTCCTGATAATCTTACATAGGACCATATGGAAAATCATGAACTGTGAATTAACTATAGGGCAAGCATGACCTGGATGTCAGATTGAGCACCCTAGTAGCTGTTTAAAATGTCATTATCATTGCCAGACAATGAGTTTCCAATGTTATAGGTTCAGTGTGTATTTCTGAGTGGGTTTTATTCTTTTCAGTAATTTTATACTTGGCAGGTTGTGACAACAATTGCACAAGATTATTGTTTTAAGCCTTGTTTTCCAGAATTTGTTTTACTGTTTAGCCACTTAGCTAGTTGATAGCATCCAATGCTGTTTCAGAACAGCCAAATATAATTTTTCTGCATAGCTGAACAAATGCTCAAAAACATGTAGAGGTCCAATGAAAATGAGTCACCACCATGTTAGGACTGAGTGGCTGAGTGGCAAATGTACACACAGGACTCAACAACTCATGGAACAGTTCACCAAACTGTTTAAACTATTAACTATTGAAATAATTGGGGTGGTGATGGGATCATACATGGCTGCATAGGTTTCACTGAAGCCTGCTATATTCTATGATAGAAAAGACATCCTTGTGTCATGGAAATCAAGCTGTTATTTATAGCTTTGTTGCTGTAATGTTCCATCATGTTTTATGTGATGATCACCTGAAACTATGTTCTGTAGTAAGCTATGCTACATGCCTGCACTTTCAAGTCTAACCATGCTCATCAAGAAAGGTTTAATTATATATATGCTTATCTTGATATGATTCACATACCTTGGGATCTTCAGCATCTGAGTTGCAGATATGTTGCCAGTTATGTGAAAGTATAACAAAAATAGTCAATGTTTAATCTTAGCAGACTTATTGTTTGGGTATGACTGCCCTGAGGGCTGTGAATTGGTGCTTACATATGTGTCAGTGGACAGACTTAGTCCCATAAAAGGTGTTAGGAACAGGCAGGATCTCAGGTTCACTTGTCCCAGGCTCAGTATTGGAGATGCTGGCAGGTATATTTTTAATGAATACTCATCAAACATCAGCTCATTATGCTTATCAGCTTGCTGTAGACATGGCCTTGTCATGATGTCCAGGCCTGAAACACAGCATCGCCCACCCATAGGCTACTGCTCCCGAGAAGAAGACCGCAATGGCGCCACCTGACGGCCGCGTGGCGGCGCCACCGGCGGGCTGTCCTCTCGACAAGGACGAGCTGGGCCGCAGCACGTGGTCACTGCTACACACCACGGCCGCCCACTACCCGGAGACGCCGACTGTCGGCCAGCAGGACGAGATGCGCCAGTTCGTCGGCCTGCTGGCCCGGCTGTACCCCTGCTCCTACTGCGCCGAGGACTTCCGGAAAGAGTACGGCACGGGCGCGATGGCGCGAGCGCTGATTGGCTGGCAGTGCGGGCGACGACGCCCGCGCGGTGTGTGTTAGGTTATGGTCTACTGCCAGGTGACAAGAAGTGAGGGTATCGTTGCTTTCTCTGAGACTGGCACCTTGGCTGTTGTGTAAAATGCTGTTGAGAGTTGAGGCAAAGACATCTTTGGGACTTGGCCAACGCTCTTGCGGGGCGAACCGTCAATTTGGCTTTTGGAACGTCTTCTGTTGGAAGGAATGGAAAGCTTTCATTTAGACATTTTACAAAGTTCCTCCATGTGTTCCCACCCATCTGCAAGGTGCAGGTGCTGCCTCAAAAATTTAGAAGGAACTTGCTGATCAGCATATTCCCAAAGAAGCGTCAAAGCCCGCAGGCCCTCTGGCGGCGAGCGTGGTCGGTGGTGCGGGTCCTGCCGAGCCAAGAGGCTGTGTGCCGGCCGCCGGGTGCAGTGACGAGCGCTCTGCCTGCCGCAGCTTGGCCGAGCACCCGCCGCAGCTGGAGAGCGGCTCCCGGCTGGCCCGCTGGCTCTGCGAGCGACACAACACCGTCAACCGCAAGCTGGGCAAGCCCGAGTTCGACTGTGACCTGGTGCACCAGAGGTGGGCGGCCCGGGGGCGGGGCCGCTGGCGGATCCGCCGCGTCCGCACCCCCGCCGGAGCGGGAGTCGACCGGGTCGGCCGCCGTAGCCGCTCCTGCGCGCGAGGAGCCTCCGCAGTTATCAGCGCGTTGTGAGCGCGTTCCTCGGAGCTGCGGTTGGGGCAGATTGGCGCCCTCCGTTGAGGTGCTCATGACTCTGTGTTGCGTCAGCTGTTTGGCCGTGATCATGCCGCAACCCCTCCCGCCGTCTGTTACGGACAGAGGAGTGCCCTTAACACTTTTTACCTACTTTCGTATACCTACTTTAATATACCTAACGCGTCTAACGTTTAATATACCTAACGCGCATTGGTTAACGCATCTGCGTTAACCACTGCGCGTCTGGGAAACCAGGGGTACGGGGTTCGATTCCCCGCGGCGCCCGCCCTTCCTGCCAGGGTGAGAGGCAGGCGACGCCATATAGCCTCGGCAGCTGAGTGCGTCGTAGAGCCCCAATGACGTGACGCAATATACCTACCCACGTTCATTGGCCTACCTACTTTACACCTACTGTAGACTTACTTTCTTGGGCCAAAATGATTGTGTTTTCTTCGTCTTTCAGGTGGCGTGATGGCTGGCAGGATGGAAGCTGCGGATAGCTGTTTGCTGTGGGCGTACACCTTACCTCAGGATCGAGCCAGTGTGAAACTTGAGTCAGGATACGCTATGATCCCCGACAGAACTTGGCGCTTGTTCCCGTGGTCGGTTCTGCCATGTTCCGTGTGTATTTGATTCACGTGATTTTGTGACACTTGAACAGCACATAGAGGTTGGCTGCATACGCCATTGTGGCATCCTGGGGAACCGCCCAATCATGTGAGGCCACCCAGCTGCCTGGTGTATGGCAAAGCTTGTTACTTGGTGTGAGCAGCTCTGTTACCGATTTGGAGGTCTTTTAATAAGGTGATGTGACAATGTGTGTTTTCTGCTGATGCTACCCAGTTTTGCCAGTAAGTCGGCTGTTCGCAAATTTGTAAGTTGCAAAAGCCGACCTATAATTCAGATTTTGATGTTGAAAGACAGCGTTTGGTCGTGGTTCCAGACGAGCCTTCGTACGGTGATTTTCTGTGGTGATACTCATTCCAGTGTAAATCACTTCCTGCTGTCAGCAGACTACGCGTCCCCACCTCATCCTCCCTTCCCCACTGCGTCCGAGGGTGTCCCGGAGCGCCCGGTCCGGCTGTGACCCCCTGACCTCGCGTCCCCCGCCCCTTTCCCTACTGGTCCGACGCCGGGTAGGTCTTGGCACCGCCGGCGTCGGCCACGAGCCGTATGAGGGGAAGACAATACATGCACGAAGCTGCCATAACTTTTCGAGATCGCCCGCGCACCTCCTCGGCGTGGAATAAGCAAGTCCGTGCCCAGTGACTCGGTGCAGCGGGGGGACGCCCGGGCGGACCCGTGACGGGTGGGGAGATCGCGGCCGCGCTCTTTAGTGATCAGTTGATGAGGGGGACGCATCACGGGACTGCGTGACGGGTGTCACGGCGTCACGTGACGGGTGTCAAGGCGTCACGTGACGGGTAAGGCGCGCGGCAAAACCTGCTCGGTGGAGGGGAATTTCTACAGTGAATGAGTCAGACTTTGTGCTCGGACGAGATCAGAACTCAGTGATGAAACGAGCGGAAGTAGGGGCCCGCTTGTTAGAGGTAGTCAGTTTTTTTTTTGTTTTGTTTACTTCAAGAAAGCCGAACGGTTGCTTTCTTGTATTAAGTTGAACTGTGCACATATTTTCACACATCCTGCCATAAACATTAAATTTTCGTTGCTCTCCCCCGTCCAAGAATTTGACAGGACCTTTATCGACTTTTGGCGAGGAGTTTGTTACCAGCTGACGCTTACGCCAAGTTATTACGTCAATATGCACGCACCGTTCATGTTGAATCTAGGTTTTCACAATAGGCCGTGCTTACTAAACACCCTAGGGCCAGGGCAGTCCCACTCTAACATTCCGTCAAGCTTCTATAAGGAACCAGCATTCGTCTGTTACGTCAGGTGTCGGCGGCCGCCAGAAGGACACGCGATGGGCATCACCTCAAACACGGTAAAGGCAAGCCGGCTTCGAATGGCGACCGCAGCAATTAACAGCGGCGTTGTACCAAATCATTGTATTTGAGAAGCGCAAGATATCTACACAGGACGAACCGCCAGCGGCCTCTCCCGGAGGGCGGTTATGAAGCTGCCGCCGGCAGCAGCATGGGCAGGGTGGCTTATGGCCTCACCGGCGCGCGTACTTCCCGGAGGCGGTCTGCTTGTGCTGCAGCTGGCGCAGTCCCAGCGCCGAGGTGCGTCGGATCCTGCCGCCGTACAGCAGCCGCTCCCGCAGGCCGGCCAGCTGCGGGTTCACCACGGCCGGCAGCGCCACGGCCGGCAGCGCCTGCCGCGCGAAACTCGGTCGCCTCGCCGTCCGCCAGGGCGATGAAGTCCGGCCCCGCGGGGGTTGCTGGTGTCGGGTACCGAAACCGCTTCTTCTTCGGCCGCAGCGAGCCGACGCCGGCGCGGCCCGCACGCCGCGGCGGCGCCGCCGAGGCGTCGGCCTCGTCCTCCGGCGCGTCCTCGTCGGCGGCGAGGTCGTCCAGGATCTCCTGGCTGAGCTCCAGTTCCAGGCGGCGCTGTTTGTCCAGCTTCTGCTCGCGGTTGCGCTGCTGGTGGGCGGTGTCGCGCTGGCGGCGCGCCTCGTCGCGGCGCCGTCGGCTGGCGGCCAGGTCAGCCAGCAGGCGCTCCGCCTCCTGGCGCGAGCCGGCCAGCCCCACCGTCTCGGGCGCCTCGTCCCCGCTGTCGGCCGCCGGGCGCGCCTCGTCCGCTACCGTCGAGACCGAGTCGTCGGAGCACACGCCGGGGTCCGTCGACCTTTTGAACGTGACCTCATCGTCGCTGGACTCGTCGGGCGCCGGACGGCGACGACTGCGCAGGCGGGACGGCATGGCGGCCGTTCCGACGCTGGTGGCAGGTGCTGTCAGGTGCTGGAATCGGTTATGTGGTGACAGTCAGAAGGAGTAGCATGCACAATAGGCACAAGATCATGGCAGCACATTTTGATACTCAGAGCAATTTGGCACATTTAGCGCTTTTGGCTGGACCTGCATATATCTACTGGAATGCACATCACCCCTCTGCTGCCTAAAGGTAAACCCCCATATGTTAATTTGTGACCATTTTGTCTTTTTGTGTCTTCTAATTTGTCTCTTTGAGCTGTAATTGGTTATGTAAGCCAACAGCAAATATTTTCACAACTTTTTAGCACTTTCTTTTAGCTAAAAGTTCACAAAATTTTTACTTCTTGTTTTATACACACATTCAGTATGAGAAGATAAAACAGATGACACAGAAAGCAAAATGGCCAGAAATCTGCATACAGGGTTTTACCTTTGGATGCCAGCACTTGCATGAAGGTGTTAACCACTGCAGGCACATAATGTATCAATGTGCTTTACAGTGATTCTTGCCATAAAACATTTGTTGAAACACACTGTCCTGCAGTCTGGTCTGGCTCATGGTGGAGAGCATGGTGAAAACAACCAGGCTGGTAAGGGAGCTCAGCATTTTAGTGATAATACAGATGCAGCTGCCCTCATATTTATCTGCAGTACAGTGCTAGGGCTACATCATGTGCATGGCAACCACTTCCACTGGCTTCTTGAGGGGTATGTGATTGGGAAAAGACATTTAACTTGCTGGGCTGCAGCTGGCCTGAATTGCTATCTGGATCACATATTACTATTCTCCTGCATGTTCAATTAACAGTCAAACCAAGATGGCATATAATACTTGCATCACCACAGCCTACTTGACCAGATGTTTAAACTTCTATTGCTCATTCTAGTGTGGGCATACAAAAACACAGCAAAAAGTGATCATATATGAGATATTAATTTTGTTTGAGAGGATAAGCTCAGGGTATGCCAGGTGATGACAACACATAACATGGGCAGATAAAAACAGCCAAATGCAGCAATACAATGCATTACTATGATGCTAAAGTCACCTCATACAGGCAATGTCACATGATGGAGGGGCATGCAAGCCATAACTTATTCACCTTGGGCCACCTAATAACAATGATGCTCTGGAATTGTACAGGAGTTGTGTAGTGAAAAAGGGATGATTTGATATACAGATCATTTGGGCCAAGCCAGTGCGCTACAGCCGCTTAAACACTTTGGTTAGAGTGGGGTTACTCCATGAGCTCCAGCACAGGTACTTGTTAGAAATGGTGCAATAACAGTTGGCTTGTCAAATAGCAAAACACTCACACATTGACCTTCTCTCAATGGTGAGTTTGCAATCTAAGGGTGATGAGCAAAGCACAGCTTACCTAGTCCCTGAAAATGGTAAAATCAAGCTCTCTGCCAAGACTGTTCCAATATATTTCAATTCATTGGAATTTGGGCTTCAGAAGCGTCCCAATACCCCTACACACGTGCACGTAATTACTGCATGCGTCGTATACGTTCCCAAATCCAGCAAGGCAAGGCTCAGATGGGGACTGCCGCAAATGCGCTGCAAACGAAACGATTGAGAGCATCAAGATATTACTGCCAACTTTTGAGCAGGGAGATTTTATGATTTTTTTCTTCAAATCCCTCTGTACCTGTGTACCGGGCACGCACTTGCGATATGTGTGTTTGCATAATGTGTATGTTTGCCTTCACATTCATGTTTGCTTGCTATCACCCTTGGATGACTTACCAAAGTATGACAAAAAGGCTGCGGAACTGATTATATGGGAGGCTTCGGGTATGTGGGAGGCATTTCAATTGGATGGATATCTGGGAACTAGGCGTAGTGTTTGTTGCGCGAACTCTGTCCCCACTATTTGATCGTGAAATATTCTTTCAACGGCAAAATTCCGTGGCCAAAGTTTAACGCGCACAATACACGGCATTGTCCGCCCCGCCCTCTGGCCTCACCCTGACCTCCAGCGGCTACTGCCACCGGCATCAAGGTCATCTCAGTGAGGAGCAAGCAGTCATGACCCTGTACAATAGCCAGCACCGAAACCGCTTGGTTACATGGATTAGAGCCGTTTCGGACAATCATGGCCATTTCAGGGTTATGGGATGAAGGGGAGTGGATAACGGTGGGCCAGAACTGCGTATATGAGCCTGGCCCGCATGAGCCCGTGGTGGGCCACCCAATGTGTAATCCACTTGGTTATCCATGACATGCCCACATGGGACCAATGTAGACAGCCTAAATGGGGCCCATATTCCAGCCGATCTTAAGCCCACACTGGTATCTAGATGAACGTGTTAGCTGGTCGTTAGCCCCACCCTCCGAGGCTTGGTCCGCAGAGCGATCCCTAGTCGGGGTTTACGCTTGGAGCCCCGCTCGCCGAGGCTTGGTCCGCACATGGACCCCTAGTCGGGGTTTACGCTTTGCTCTCAGACGAAGCCCCGGCCAGGGGGCACTTGGGCCCACTCACGGATGGTGCATATAGCCTACCCCGGTTTAACGGGGTGTCGCGATGATGCAGGATGAAGAAAGAGTGAAGAAAGTAGGATGGATGCGAAGCAACTCGAATCCACCCACCACAACGCAGGGGAGGATGGGAGGCAGGTGCTCAAGCCGATCGCGCTACGGGGGACTGACAAAGGCCCCAGGGAAAAGCTCCTATTCAATAAGAGCCTCTCCCCAAACTTTCAGATTCGAAGGAAATTCGTTTGTTGGTGTTTGTGAGGGAAAGTATCACCAATTTTACTGCCGAGACCCTCCCCATCTCATTTTGCAAATCTACACTCGCTTCAAAGCCACCTCCGCACGCCAAAATTTAAGCTTTGTTGCTGGGTAAAACATGGAAATCCAGTTGTTCCCACTATCCTGCTACTGAGCTGTAACTTTCGCTACGATTCTTATAATGATTAGAGACTGACCCAGTTGTGGGACAATCTATCCTTCTACAAACGTCTGCTTCTGAAGGGATTTAGTCCGCTTTTTTACGAACGGCGCGGTCTTACGTTTGGTTGCCTGGTTACGCACATCTGCCTGGTTTGGCATAATAACCAAACCGGGCTGATCTGCTAAATATTATTGTATATACCTTATTATGCATACGCTATTTTTCACAACTTTGTAATGCATTTCGGAAAAATCCTGTTGACCCCCCCCCCAAAAAAAAACACGGCGGCCAAATCAACATTACGAGGTCAGAGACTTCACTAAAAATAAAAATTGACTCTTCTGGCTGCAAGATTTGTGTTCGGCCGCGGGCTTCCAGCTGTGGCATTCAAACTCGGCTGCCGAGGCCTTTGCTCCGGATCTTCGCACGCGCTCGGTGACGTCAAATCAAGGTCACGTGCCCGGCGGCTAGCAACGGGCAGCTGTGGCCTCCGGATCGCCCCTCAATAATCCATCAGCTGATACGACACCAGGATATGAGACACGGCTGGGGGCGCACGGCTCACAGGCCTGCGCGCAAGGGAAGATCTTCGCCAATGAAGTTGGAGCGCGATACACACCAATTTGAACAGTCGGAGACTCGGAGAGCGCCACGAGTTATCAAAAACAAAATGGCGGCCGAACTTCGGCGGTCGATCCGATCTCGCTTTCCTCGTCGCCATCCGCTTCGTTTTGCTTTCTCACGACAGTTCGCTTCAGCTGGATCAGTCTGCGGCTGCAGCCACGGGCCAGTCTCAGAGGCACTCGGGTCAGTCTCAACGGCGCACGGGTCAGTCCCGCTGCCGTTCGGGTCAGTCTCACTGCCGCTCGGTCAGTCTCAATAGCTCACGGGCTAGTCTCACTGCCGCTCGGGTCAGTCTCAATGACGCAAGGCCCAGTCTCAATGGCGCACGGGTCAATCCCACTGCCGCTCGGGTCAGTCTCAGTGGCATTCGGGTCAGTCTCAATGGTGCAAGGGTCAGTCCCAATGGCGCACGGGTCAGTCTCACTGCCGCTCGGGCCAGCCTCACAGTCGCTCGGGTCAGTCTCACAGGCGCACGGGTCAGTCTCACCGGCGCATGGGCCAGTGTCACTGCCGCTGGGGTCAGTCTCAATGGCTCACGGGTCAGTATCACTCCGCACGGGTTAATCTCAACGGCGCACAGGTTAGTCTCACTCCGTATGGAGCCGTACCCAAGTACGCGCACAACCCTGGCTGCGTTTTTTCGGGAATGATGAATAAATGTCGTTTTTTCCTCTCATTTTTCCTCTTTTGTGAACTCTCCGAGAATTAGGGAGAATCCTCTTTGGTGGCTAAACTAGTCTGGATGGTCACTGTATTATCCCTCTTTCTCCATTCGCTTGTTACCGTGGGCCTTCAGCCCTAAAATGGTGGCTGATAGCCGGAACAGTTGCAACCAAACCAAAGGACATCTAGCGGTCATGTAGTTTGCTTTCTCGGTGTTCTTTTCAACTCACATCTTGCATTTTTGCAATGGTCTGTTTTGCCGGAACATGCTGCATCTGCGCCGTTTGGGGCTGCGGCCAGGGGGGGAGGGGGCTTGAGTATCTGCACAAACCCTCACGTCGGAGATTTTTTTGCGGGATAAAGCCTGACAGCGGCGGTGATTCGCCCCTGACCGAGGTGGCACGCCAGGGTGGGCGGCTGCCAAAAAGGACCTTAGGACCATTTAAGGACCATTTAAAGGACCTTCTCACTGACCAGCCGTGCCGTTGACAGCAAAGATGGGCGGAGACAGCGGGATATGTCACGTTTATGATGCTTATGTAACTCACCGCAGAGCTTTACATAAGGAGTCACATCAACTGAGACCACTCAGCCTCCGCTCCGTGGCCGGCCGCCTGGCTACACGCTGACCGTATGTGGCAGACTCCTCTTGCCATCCGACCCGCTGGAGACCGGCTCAGAAGGCTGTCAACGGACCACGCGGCGAGTCGTTATCGTGAGGTCGGGCTCGAGGCTGCACAGGATCATCGGTCCGTATATGCACGGCGGGAAAAGACAAAATCAAAAAGGCACTCCACCGCAATACGGGTTGGATGCTGGCCGCAATACATGCTGGTCGCGGCTCTTCATGTCGGGAAGCGGAAAGTTTGCTGGAAGATTTTGGTCTGACTTTAATCAACACTCATTGTGCCAGGATGCACCGGTTAAACGAAGCAAACGATGGATGCCATAATCAAACTCGACATTTCCAGTCGTTCTGATTTCACGACCGCAGAACCTGCTCCAACTGCACCATCTTTAGGCGGACATAGGCCTCGCAGGCCTGTGCTCCAAAAGCAGCAGTCGGATTGGCACAGCGGACACGCGACATGGACTTTTGCGGGACTCGCAGGACTCTGCGGGACACTGCTTCGCGGGACTGCGTACCGCGAATACAGGACGGGATTCGGTTTGGGTGCTCAGAAGTTCTGCCTTCTCTGAAGTTCATCAGAAGTTTTGTCATGAATTTGCTAGCTGGCCCCGTGCGCCACCGAGGGCTTCAACCTTGCCTTGCCGCCCGTGACAGCCGGCCGGAAGCTTTGTGCGATCAGATATTAGCTCTGTGGTCAAGATTGGGGCAGTTAGTGGAGCTTGTTTCGCGGGGCTTGATAGTTTCCTCCTTTCTCCAGCACAATCCCAGCGTGGGTCGGTCGCGTAGATCAGGTGGTTGTTGACAGGAAGCAACTCAGCCGCTGAAAATCCTTGAAACACCTTGTACGTGGGAATTGGTGAGGTGCCCAGTTCCCATCAACAAAATTCACTGGCACTGTCTGTCCATGGATGCACTTTTACAAAAAGGTGTCACATATTTAATATCCAACGATATTGTTCGCGGATGTTGAATGCATGTCATGTCTTTGTTCGGTGTTGCATGTGATTTCATTGTATGTTGTCCATGTGACATTCAAAAAACGATGATCATGATAAGGCTGAAAGCCTGAGATGGCATGAGTTGTATTTAAGCTTTTCGTATGGACGTGAGATGATATGTTCAGACATTTTGCAATGCACAACCGGTTTCAGATCCGTCTCGGGTACTGGTAATGGTAAGGTGCTGTGCGAAAGCTGTGGATAGTCAGAGTCATCTTATATATCATACCTCTCAGCCAATGCGTTTCTTTTGTGTTTTTACGAATGATGGACCTCTTTCGTGCAAACAAAGTGTTAGTGTTGTCCAAAGTGTTGTGCCAAACTGGTACTGGTAAGGTACTGTGCGAAAGCTGTGGATAGTCAGAGGCATCTTATATATCATACCTCTCAGCCACTGCGTTTCTTTTGCGTTTTTACGAATGATGGTCCTCTTCCGTGCAAACAAAGAGTTAACTTGCATTGCTGTTGATTGTTGTTGTTTCATCTGTATATATTACGTAACTTACTAAAACGGTTGCTCTCTATGGGCAAACCATCTTGTCTTGTGTTTCTACTAAGCCTTCAATTGGTATGACGCACATCTATTTCGCAGTGCATGATTGTGTGGAATTCTTCACTCCTGTTTTCGCTTTCATTCTCTCCGTGGGCGGTTGGAAGATCCGTAAAAATAGATCAGTAAAAAGAAGAACATTAAAAATATTGCCAGGCCTGGAGAATTCAGCCGAATATTAGAAGAAGGTAGCGCTTTGGCCGGCTGTGTAAGTTTCACACGCTAATTAGCATAGGTGCTGTGACAGTACTTGGGGAGTGGCAGACTCCGGTAAGCCCACCGACTTTGCCCGAAGCATCAGAAATTGGCCCGACCGGCACTACAACGGGCGTCTTCTGGCCTGCACGACCACACCACTCGGGTTACCGCCCCAGCGGTCTCGCTGACCCGACCTTAACCCGTGGGGCACGCGCACAACGTCACTCGGCGACTGAAAGAGCTCCCGCGCCGATAGGTGCCGAGTCAGCAGCCCGGCGGAGCTGACCGCATCGCCCAGCGCACCAGTCAGCGATTGCGTTAAGATTTCGGTGAAGGCAGACCTTGCGAAGCAGACTACACCCGATCTATCACATCAGGATACGGCTCGCATTCTGGAGCGTTCGTTCCGTTCCCAAATAGATTTGCGAGGTGCATTCCAGTTTGCCGGAGTCGGTCCTGGCCGTGACGCGAAGTGCGCGGAGTTGTTTCTGACTTTGGTCGTTCGCTGTGCTTAAGAGCTTCGCGTCGGCTTTGGGTCTGACTCAGGAATGCGCCACACCGGATCCGGGAATGCATTCCATTCCAGCACTAAATCCCGGTCGATTCCGGCTGTGTTTCCATTCCATTTCCATTTCGGATCTGAGCCCGGTCTTTAGGCTGAATCAAGCCACACGCCAGCAAGACACGTCACACACACGACGTGGGCAGAACGAGGTGATAGCAGACACGATTGGGAAGGGCGTGAAGATGACGACAAGACCTCGGCTAATGAGGCCACTCATCCCAATGAGTCATATCCATGCTACAGAATGTCGATGTTACATGCCCAATTCGAAATGTTTAACATGCGTGATATCTAAGGGGGCAAAGAGGTTAGGCGGACGTCAGGTTTGCGCGCCATTTCGCGAGAGTTTCGCGCGCATTTCGCGAGACTGCCCTGCTTGAAGGTTGGCAGGCTGTGGTCCGGTGTTAGGCCAGACCACTTCGGTTGGGAAAGTCAGTAGAAGCCAATACATGCCTTCGTCGGACACTCTTAGTTTTTGACTAGTATAAAGTCAAAAGAAATATCCGGCCCAAAAGCGTGTATTCTTGTCTTGACGAATCACACATTGTATGAAATGGCCTGAGGTCTAATTAATAATATAGTGAATAAACCACCAGAGGTATCTACGAATTCTACATTTACGGATATAACTGAAACTGTCGATGTGCGCACAGAACGCAAGAGCGGGTCATTCGATAACACCAAACGAGTCATTAGGTCAAGAGGGCAGCACTCGATCCTCTGCCGTCACACAGGCAAGACCCATGAGCTACTGATCAATCATTTGTATGACGTCATGCTCATAAAGTCATACCTTGAACGACCGAAGCATTCAATTGCGTCCCACATATGTACCACATGTGGTGTCAGAGTGCCGGCGTTGCACCTCACAAAACGCGCCTCCTGATGTCAAACATGACGTCAAACTGACGTCGCACGTCAGTCAGACCGGACATCAACGCTGTCCGAGTGCGACGTCGTGATGTCCGGGATGTCGTGACGTCACTGGAGCCCGCGGTGACGCCTCACTCGGCCGGCTTGCACACGTGCTGCTGCAGGCAAGCGTCGTAGCAGCACTTGTCGCTGAGGCCGCAGTGCTTGTCACTGGCGCATGGCTGCGGTCTGGCCAGGAAGGTAGTGCTGCTCGGACAGACCAGGCGCGGGGGTGGACACTGGCCCCGGTGGTCGGCCGGCGGCGCTGGGGGCAGTGGCGTCAGGTCAGGCTGACACAAGGTCTGGTCACGACTCGTTCGGTGATTGTGTGGCATGTGTGGGACAGTGTCGTGTGGTGGGCACCATTCGTCTGGCCTGACGTCACGGAGAAATCATCTGTCAAAGCATGTGAGAGGCAAAGCATAAGGCCTTTACTACTGTCTTATCTATATGCATAATGTTTCTCTTAAACGCACTCAATATCTTACGCTGGTTTACGAGGCATGAAACTACTTTACCCATTTGGCGCCGTAATTTTAGTACAGGATTATAGACGGCGGAACACCACCCCGATAATAGTTCACAAAATGGTTCGCTGTCAAAATGATGACACTGCTAATTTCTAGCAGACTGACTGTGGTAATTTTCCGGCGCGGACAAATTTCATCATATTCATCATGGTGAATACTAATGGTCTATATGGATAAGAACGCTTAACAACTTGACTGCTTCGTGAGCATGAATGCTATGGCACATATTGAGGCATTGCCGAGTTTCCTTTTTAATATTGACCACATGTGGTGTCGGACGCCGTCAGCTAATCATCAGGAAATACCCCAGAGTCCTGCTCTATTTTTAAAAAGAGAGGGGTAGGTTTTCCTGCCGCCAATGAAGGAGCAAAACTAGACCACGAAACGGGTATCTGCAATGCAGGTAGCACTGTTTTTTGCAGCAACGCCCAGGAGCGCGCCCAAGTCCCGACGATGTCATGAACTGAAAACCGCCTTTATCGAGGACGTCCGCCCTGACATCTAGACCTGGATCCGCCGCTGGCGTGGTCGTGTTTTACCGGCCAGCGAACGAGCCGCGCCCTGCGCTAAAACCACGGGGCACGCGCGCCGTGGGAGCCGCCAACGCGCGGAGCCGGCCGCCGGAAGAGACTGCAGCTCTGCACACGCCAATAGCACTCCGAACGCGTGCGTCACGGGCAACCACACGGGCCGCGATCCAGACGCTCACGTGAAACGGCAGCCGACTTGGACTCGACTGGAAGCCTGTCTACGTGCACTCAGCGGTGGGGAGGTGGAATAGTTTACTTCTGCGGTCGGGCACCACTTAGTGGTTAGCCACAAACCGATTCACCGCGTTACAACTCCAGACGTGGTGTTTATACTGGGCACAATAATTAACAACGCGGTGGTAGTGACACGACTGACGGGTTTCCAGTGTGAAATACGGTAATTTGCAGGGCAGTCACGGGACAATCGTATGCCTCTCATCTGCAACTTCTTGCGCTCGACAGGTAAAGCTGGTAGCTGACCTGCGGCCGTTTGGCAGCAGTAGAACCTGCCGAAGGGGTCACGGCACCAGTAGCGGCAGTCGGCGCTGGGCGGCATCGGGAAGTGCAAGCGGCCGCCGCTCTGCAAGCTGGAGGGGCCGGCTAAGGCGCCGCTGCCGACGCTGGTGAAGGCCTGACCATGTGGCTGGCTGATGTACGACTGCACCGTCTGGGCCGGCGTCAGCCCGACGCCGACGCCGAACGTACCCGAGAGGGGCAGCAGCCGCACCCCCGACAGCCCGATCAAGCTCGACGCGTCGGGGCCGACGGCGCTGATGAGCGGCGACGCGGGGACGGCGGGGAGCGGGTCATCAGCAGCCGGAGCGACGGGGGGCGGGACATCGGCGGCCGGGGCGGCGGGGAGTGGGACGTCTACGGCTGTGGCAGCGGGAAGCGGAGCGTCGGCAGCGTCTGATGGCTCAGGCAGCAGGCACTCTCTGAGGCTGCCGCCGGCCGTAAGGCTTAGCTGGAGCGAGAGCAGCAGCCACAGCATCTGCAGGCACCAGTCGCAGCATGACGCCGGTGCAGAAGCGCAGTTCTAACGCGAATGACTGTCTGGATCTGAGGAGACTAATAGCAAATCACATCCCATGTGCAGACTTTGAGCCTGTTACCACAACGCTTTGCATTTACTTTAAAGGCAAGGGGTGGACCCACCGAGATTCTTCCAAAGAAGTCGTCATAGATAAAAACCGGGCGGTGGGACAGAAGATAAGCCGTTTCAGAAAAGCCATCAACTGTATATGACACCTCTTTCCGATCTAGCGTGCATGCAAGTCTCTTCATACGTTTCTGCTCACCCTGATTCTGCGTCGAGTACGGACAGCTCGCTGACACCACCGCTCCAGCGCCGCGCCGTCTGTGCTCTGGTGACGCTCTCCGAGGGCCCGCAAATCTACGGAGCGCCCTCGGGCTCCACCGGTCGTTGGCCCACGCTTCGCGGAGAGTTACGCTGTCCCATCAAAACAAAGGGTTGTTGACCGGCGGTTGATCCCAGGAAGTGTCCGCTGCCCCAGAGACGTAAACAGGGGGTCATGACCTGAGGTGGGGTTTCCAGGGAGGAAACGGCCAGCCGGGACAGCGCGTTAGTCAACAAAAGTTAAACGTTTCGAAGTTGTCGCAAGGAAAGCGGAGATTATTTGGACGGCATATCAAGCATCAATATTCCGAGTCGTCAATGAGGCGGTGGCATTCCACGTACTTGCGCATCGTACATTTATATCAAACACACAAGTTCAGTATCATACACCTGAAAGTATGCACCTACACCTACCACGTATAAGTATCGTACACCTTTTCGTAACATACCATTACTCCAAGTTCATGAATCATGGGAAATCATGATACCGTGTCAAAGCTTTTATGAATAGGACCCCGCCGCCATCCCTGCAAGACACTGAACTGTGAGCACGTCGTAACTATATGAGCGATCCGTATTTGATCACATTTATCGGAATTTTGAGAACAGTCCCGTTTCAGTATCTAGTATCTCGAAAAGATGGCAAATCTGCTGTCGCATGCAATCACTGTAATCCCAGTCCCAATCACAATCACAATCAATCACAGCATGAAATCATACAACACTTGTCCACATATTCCTGTCGCCACGTCTCACTCACACAGAGGAAGTCTAGAGAGACTGTGCTGTCATGCCGTCCAGTGACGACACCCGTGTTCGCACATTCATGTGTTCGATCAGCGGAGACGCCGCAAGCCGCCGGTCGGCCGCGCCCAGGCGATTCAAATGTTAAATAGCTCCGGCCTCTAATTCATCAAAGTAAAATACGCTTTTGCAGCACGTCGTTCCTTTGCAATCTTCAGAAACTCGCGTTATTCTCGCGTCTGGTTGTGTGGAACCGTTGGCATGCTCCTCACTTTAACTCGACACGGAGTAGGGTATTTCACCACTCTCGACCACCCGGGGGGGGGGGGGGGGACCACAGTTAGCGCTTCCCTGGTATTCCAGCATCAAGGCGTAGGATAAAAGATAGCTTAAACGATAGTCGATATGCCTGATGGATTTCAGCCAGTAGTAGCTGATTTGACACCGGCCATGTGATTGATGACGTCACGGATATTACAAAATAGGTTTAATGAAGCACATCACACGTCTTCACACATTTTGTGGGGTGCCGTCACGACTACAGTGTAGGGACTCCGGTGCTCCGTACTATAGCGGTCGTCAGATTAGTACCCAGAGGCCATTCGCGCTGCTGGGACCCCCCCCCCCCCCTCCCCGCCCCACACACACAAACACGTGATCCCCCACCGACTTCTGTGACTTCTGTGATTTCCGTGACCTCTGTTACCTCTGATGGTGGATCTCAAATACGGAAATTTTTCATTGGCGTCTTAAGCCAGTGACCAGACCTAACGTTGACTCCCCCCGAAAACAGAGTGTGTCAAATAGAGCACTTACCAGGTTTTGATAACTTGGACCTGCCTTGGAAGGCTGACCGCTTGAACTGCGTAAATGGCTGGGTAGAGATTTCCAAAACCAATAAGAGGCTACTTCCTCGTTACCCAGTGGGTCTCAGATTCACCAAGTTGTATAATCATCGTGAAAACCCGCACTTGGCTGGCATGTTTCGCTTCTTGTCTACTGCTTGTTTCAAGCCAACTTTTTTTGCGAGCGAGTCACGGCACATTTCCAATCCAGTTCAGATCTGACCACGTTCAGTTCTCTCGTGCACGACCACTCCCCGTCATTGTTTAACATGAGCAGCATTCCAGCAGTGGGCGAAGCCCAGTCGTTGTTTTCCTGACAAGGTCGTATCAGTCCACTTTAAGGCCACCCCGGCCAAAAGCCGGAAGTGAGTCACTAGAAATTCAGAGGGTGGGCACCTGGAATTTTGCCGGCTTAAATAAAAATAGGCCGAGGCGCACGGTGAATGATTTAAACCAAGCTGACAAACGGCCACAAATGTATCAATGACGTTTCTTTTATTGGGCGGTTACAGTTGTAATTAAAGGCACCCTCGCCAAACGGCGGGAAGTCAGTCACTGAAAATCCAGAAGTCGTGCATCCGACATTAAATCAGCCCAAAAATCAGCTCAAAGGAAAACAGCCACAGGTAAGCTTACATGACGGATGAGTTAGAACAATTCCATTAACGGCCACGAATACACCCACAAGTTTTTTTTACCGGATTTGACCGTTTAACAAATTTTCGCGGTAAAGCCTTCGTGTCATGCGCAGTAAGCCTTGCAGGACTGTTAACCTTAGCTCTCATTCTAGGTGTTTTAAAACGTAGGTTGATGGGGACGGGGAATAATGCTACCCCCTGGCGTTTCCAAACCAACAAAGACAGACCTTAGAGGAAAAAACAGTGGATTGACCCCACAAGGTATTGCGCTTGGCTTCAGATATTATTTTGTTAAGTCAGAACAGACGTGTTCCTTGTTCATTTCTGAGTGCAGTGCTATGTATTCTTCGGTATTTTGAACACACATTTGCATGACATATGGTTGCGTAAATGTGACAATGTTGGCCCGCCCGCGCGTACTGCGGCATCATTGGCTGCCACCCGCTTCCTGCGCTAACTGTAGATCGCCGTGCAGAGTTCCTCAAAAAACCGCCGCCGCTCCGAAAACAGAAAAGCAGGAAACACGTTTTGGGCATAAAATCACGTGCAGTTGATGTCCCAAAGGCTATCTAAAATTGCAAAGCTCTTCTAAGACAGTACTCGATCTTTCAATCCGAGCCTGCACCAGTCCGGCTACAGATCGCAACGAATTTAGATAACTGAGTGCAAAGATAAGACTTGAAGTCCATGCCTTGGATGACGTCATCATCTGAGGTCACCGACCAGCATGGCCAACAATCAAAACGGCAGAAAGCATGAACTCTACTCTAGCGCTGTATGATTTGTTCCGGAGAGTTTGAGGTAAAGGGCACCAGGATCACGGCGTTTTTTGTTGCCGGCACTGTTTATCAAGGAAACGCGACGCCTGGTACAAGCTGTCAAAAAAACTTCCATGAAAAGCGGCATCTATGACACGACCGCAGTCCTATGACTCACCGAAAACCCAAACGTAGTTCTAAGGACGCGTCTACAGCTGCATTGTCAGGACCTTTTTGCTCGTGTTTTTGCGCGATTCATGGTCGGGTTTTGCATTTAAGTATGCAGCTCATCGTACAAATGCTTTCTGGTCATTGTATTCACGAGAGAGGGAAACTAGTGCCAGCGAAGATTTCGTAGCGTGGGAAAGTCCATTTCGATACCGGCCGAATGTATGACTTTTCCTGATGGCTGCGAAAAGCTGCCAGGATGAGATATGGGGTAAATGTTCTGACTGCTGTCATCATCGCACACATGAATATTTGTTCGGCGGTTCAGCCAGCTGCTCTTTTTTCTATTGTCGGGCCCACCTAGTTATTGCTATAAGAAAGGCAATCGCTCAACTTCTGACCTTTATGCATTACGAACTCAAAGCCCTTATGCTGAGTTATCACTTTCAGTATTCCAGGGGTGCTAGGTAAACGACGTTATAGGTGCAAACATTGGTCGCACTGATAAAGCTTGACGCTTCAAAGTGGTCAATGTCGCTCATGATCATAACCCCAGCTGAAAACGTCGAGTGCGGTCAATAAAACCAATGCACGCACTACAGAGCCGCTTAACCAGCACCCACTGGGAAGTGCTGAAAGTCGATAGCTCAGCACGAGAACTCTGAATTCGCTTAGATTCTTTCCTGGCGGATGATAATAACCACACTTGCCATACTACATGCTCCTCTCATATATATATATATATATATATATATATATATATATATATATATATATATATGCATATATATACATAGGTATACATATATGCGTATAAATATGCATATATGTATATATAAATAAATATTATGTATACGATTATCTACATAAGCTGTATATATGCATCATTACACATGCATTTATTGTAATTTATGGCAAACAATTATATTGCCACACAACCTCTTCTTTCCACACGACTTCTCATCTATGCCAGCGTGGCATGCCAGCTTGGCATGTTGCTAAGTACAGCTTCACCATGACGTTTTAAGGCCGCGGCCAGAGCTCTAATTGGCGCAAACACTGCACAATCATCAGATTACGCGCACCGAAGACAGTACTGCAAGCAGCTGCGCTACATGCAATCGTTGAAAGCACCTGTGAAATGGTATTGCACAACGCGCATCTGCAGCTGCAGAGACCGCGGACTGGTAAAACGCGTCAGTTCGCTGTTAAAAAATAGGATTCCAAACCCTTTTGAATGGACGAATTTCTTGTATTAGACCTCATGCTACCCAGTGCTTGTTGTGCGAGCCGTGCCTTCTAACATCCGATCATGCAATTCCAGATTATCGGCAGAATTTGGTGGCGAAAGTTTAACGGGGTCGGCATGGTGCGCCCCGCCCTAGTGGCGTCATCTGACTTTTAGCGGGGCCGCTTCCACCGACCGCGGGTCATGTCTGTTAAGGACAAATAGCAAGTGCTTAAAGCTACTCGAGCCCACCCCGCCACGGTCAGGTGGTTTGAAACGTAAGTCTCCTAAGCAGCTGAGCTGTTGGGCCAGTTTGTCTAAATGGTAAAGCAGACAGAGTGATGCTAAGCATAGCTGATCAGCTATGATTATCTTGTGTCGAGATGTTGAATAATTCGACGCAGGCGTTACGTTAGGTAGGTAGTTATGATTCAACTGTCGTCCCCTTCGGCTGGCCGGACATGCAAGCCCGGACCAGCAGCCGTCCTCAGGCAGCCCCGGACCAGCAGCCGTCCTCAGGCAGCCCCGGACCAGCAGCCATCCTCAGGCAGCCCCAAATCATCAGTCGCCCTCAGGCAGGCCCGGACCAGCAGTCGTCCTCAGGCAGCCCCAAATCAGCAGTCGCCCTCAGGCAGCCCCGGACCAGCAGT